ATACTCATTCCTGGAATGCAATTCTAATACAAAAGTTATGGGATTAAAGGAAAAAATCTAGAATAAACTGTTTTCTTAGGAAATAGTATTATTAATCTAAAGAGAAAGTATAAGGAAAAAGGATTCCTTTTCATAGTAGTTATCACAAATACTAAATATTTTGTTAGTCATGTAACATGCTTCATAAAAATACTTAAAGGGTAGAATAAAATATTAATGGGGGAAATAAAACTCTGGATGGAAAGACTAAAAAAATAATAACAGTGTTACTAAGTTAATATATGGATTGAACATACTATTGGTTACATTACAAAAAGGATATTTTATAAGTTATGACAAACAAATGGGATGTATATGGAAAACTTATTATAGATGTTCAAACACTAAAACGACACTTGTAAGAGCTGCTTGAAAGGGGTTTTAAAAATGGGATATAGGTTTTAGAACTAGATCTAAGTTTATAGAAGATTTCTAGATTTTTTAAAGATTATTTATTTATTTGAGAGAGAGAGTGCACGAGCAGGGGGTAGGCACAGAGGGAGAGGGAGAAGCAAACTCCCCGCTGAGCATGGAGCCGACTGTGGGGCCCCATCCCAAAACCCAAAGATCATGACCTGAGCCGAAGGCAGACACTTAACCGACTGAGCCACCCAGGTACCCCAAAGATTTCTAGATTTAAAAAATAGGAATTAGTTGGGGCGCCTGAGTGGCTCAGTCAGTTGAGCATCCCACTTTTGATTTCTGCTCAGGTCATGATCTCAGGGTCCTGGGATCAAGCCCTGCTTGGGGCTCTGCACTCAGCGGGAGTCTGCTTGAGATTCTCTCTCTTCCTCTCCCTCTGCCCACCGTGCTCCCCCAGACCCCGTGCTTGATTACCTAAGATTACCTTAGTAAGATTGCCAAAAAAGGGAAAATTCCAGGGGTGCCTGGGTGGCTCAGTTGGTTAAGCGACTGCCTTCAGCTCAGGTCATGATCCTGGAGTCCCGGGATCAAGTCCCGCATCGCGCTCCCTGCTCAGCGGGGAGTCTGCTTCTCCCTCTGACCCTCTTCCCTCTCGTGCTCTCTATCTCTCATTCTCTCTCTCTCAAATAAATAAATAAAATCTTTAAAAAAAAAAGGGAAAATTCCATACTTCCCTGTACTCCCTCCTCTGCCCTCAAACTGTGGCCTCCCATCACTGTCTTGTGGCAGTCTTCGCTTTGCTGTCCTGCTGGCCACTTCCTAGTGGTGTACTCTGTAAACTTTTATCTCTGTTATTCTGCCTTGGGTGAATTCTTTCACCACCTGTACCCCCAGCCTCTACCTGATTGGATCACCCCACATTTGATGGCCCCCCATTTGATTGGGAGACCCCACAATAAGGATAATCAATAATATTGTTGCTATTAGTCATAGGTATAGCACTTAAATTTGCAAAGTACTGTTTAAATGCTTCATAAATGGTAACTCATTTACTTCTCATACCAATCCTAAGGGGTAAGTACTGTTATTATTCCCATTTTACAGATGACTCACAGAAAGGATAAGTGACTTGCTCAAAGTCACATGGTAGAGGATTCAACCCAGGGAAGAGTGTATGCTCTTAGCCATTATGACATATTGAACTTTAAATATATCTCTTTCAAATTTATATACACTAAAATGTAAAACAATTAAATGTGAATAATTTTTTAAAAGTGAAAAATCAAAACCAAAAGTCTAAAAGAACTAAACCCAAAAAATACCATAGTGATAAATATAAATGGGCTAAGCTCATCTCTTTTTTATTTTTTTAAAGATTTTATTTATTTATTTGACAGAGAGAGACACAGTGAGAGAGGGAACACAAGCAGGGGGAGTGGGAGAGGGAGAAGTAGGCTTCCCATAGAGTGGGGAGCCCAATGCGGGGCTTGATCCCAGGACCCCGGGATCATGACCTGAGCCGAAGGCAGACGCTAAATGACTGAGCCACCCAGGTGCCCCTAAGCTCATCTCTTAATAGAAAAAAATAAGGCAGTCCTATAAATCAGCAGGGTATGGAACAACATTGGAAAAAGACAAATAATGAAATTGGTCTCTTTTGTGTTTAAAAACAAACACATCAGAAACTCCTAAAATACGTGTACATGTATAAATATATAGAGGTCACAGGTATACAGCATTAAATATAGTGTTTACCTTTTAGAAAGAGAGGAAACTTAGCAGAAGTAAAGAAGAGAGACTTCTCATCTTTACTCTGTATATATATATATTTTTTTTTTTTGAAAGAGAGAGAAAGAGTGGGAGCAGGGGGGAGGGGGAGAAGGAGAGAGAGAATCTTAAGCAGACTGTGTGCTGAGCATGGATCCAGTTGTGGCGCTCAATCCCACGACCCCAAGATCATGACCTGAGCTAAAACCAAGAGTTGGATGCTTAACAAACCGAACCACCCAGGTGCTCCTACACTGTATATTATTATGTTGTTAAATACTGCCAAAAATGTGTAATGTAACTAGCAAGTTTTTTTTAAAGTTTGTATAGGTAAGTAAATAATGTCAACAAGAAAAGATTCCACACTGTTAGTACTAAATATCTCTGAAAAGTGGAATTGGAGGTAATGGAAACAAGATTATTCTTCCCTTTTTTACTATACCTACTTATGTATTGTTTGAATTTTAAAATGTTGCAGTGAGCATCTTTGAATTAGCAAATAGAGACTTATGTGATCATTTTCTCTTGCATTTCCTCTTACATTAATTATTTGTTCCTGTGGTTTACCTTTACCTATTGACTAGATAGTTTTTACATATTTCATTGGAACATTGTCCATGAGTAGACTTCAGGAAGTATAGATTTTAATGAGATTTACAGTTTAAAGTGTTGGCCAGCATCTCAACGTTATATAGGTCTTGCCTTAAATGTTACCTCTTTGGTTAAGTGGGACTTTTTTCAACTATCAAAGGAGCCTTCTGGGAGTGCCTGGGTGGCTCAGTCATTAAGCATCTGCCTTCCGCTCAGGTCATGATCCCAGGGTCCTGGGATCAAGGCCTGCATCAGGCTCCCTGCTCCACAGGAAGCCTACTTGTCCCTCTCCCACTCTCCCTGCTTGTGTTCCCTCTCTCACTGTGTCTTTCTCTGTCAAATAAATAAATAAAATCTTTAAGAAAAATTAAAAAAAAAAGGAGCCTTCTGGTATTTATCACACTCTATTGTTATATTATCATTATAGTGTTGTCATTATCTATCTATTCTTTGCTTAATTTTTTTTGGTAATTTGTTTTCCTCCACTAAAATATAAGGTCTGTGAGAGGAAGAATATGCCTTGGTCATCTTATAACACAGGGCCTAAAATAATTCTTGGCATATAGTAAGCATTTAATAATTACTTTTTGCTTACATGAAAAAAAGAAATATTCTTAAAAGTTCAGAAACTTAAGTTTGTGTTAGGCCATCCTAGAATGGTTTAGCTTTGGGGAAGTAATTGATGATAATTCATTGTTGTCTAGTAATCAGAATACCAGTTTGTTTATTTATGATGGTGATATAAGTAGTATAAGGAAAGCTGGATATACATTATGGGTTATTTTCCTTAGCATGATTATGCCAAAACCAAACTTTTATCAAGAATAAAAATTGAGTAACACATGGGAATTGGGAAAAAGAGAGTTGGGTGGTATTAAAAAATACTAAATACTATAGATTATATTGCTTAACAAGTACCTTATCTAGTAAATGCTTGTTCTTGGTCCTGAGAGTTGTGAGAGGCAATATGAAGGATTTGGTTTTGCTGCTCCAGTCATAAAAACAATAAAGTACCAGCCCAGTTGGATGGTGGGTTAGATTGTATACCTATGTAAACAAAGAGGAGCATTAAGTTAAATTTGTATTTTGTTACATATCAAAGAGCAAAAGTATAAAACATAAGTGGTGGTTCCATGAGAACAGTCAAAATAATAGATAAGTACTTACTAAAGCTCACTAATGGAAATGAACATTTCCATTTTCCATTTTTCTAAGTAGAATAAACCCTGAAACTGAATCAGGTTTTGCCCACAAGTCAGAACTACACCATTCAATTTGAAAAGACAGAGGCAGATATTTAAAAAAAAAAAAAATCAAAAACAAAAAAAAAATTAGAAATATTTGGAAAAAATAGAAAAGTGGTACAACATAGTAGCATTGCTTAATTATTACTTTTCATGCACTCTAGTGTGGTAGACAGGCAGTGTAGAATAGTAGTTAGATCTCGCTGTATGCCAGGGATTCAGTTCTATCTCAGCCTACCACTAGCTGTGTGACCTTAGATAAATCACCTGTTTTCTCTGTGGCTTAGTTTCCTCATCTTGGGGTAATAGATCCTTTTTCATAAAGTTGCTGGGAATTTTAAACAAGAGTGTGTGTGTGTGTGTGTGTGTGTGTGTGTGTGTGTTAGAGTGTGTGTAGTTTTACAAAATGGTGCTTGGCAGATAATACAGTACCACATAAATAATAGCCACTACAATTATTATCCAATAAATACTGAGTGTTACTGTTAGTCACTGTGCTGAGGATGGGAAGATCCTACCCTAAAGGAACACAGAGTTCATCTTCTCTACTTTCATCCCAGTTCTTTTTTTCTGTATCTATATCCAGGAGAATAAATTCAAGGTACATAGTTAAATCTCAGTCTTTAATTTTTTCTCCAGTGTTACTGACGTATAGTTAATATGTAACATTGTATTAGTTTAAAGTTGACAGCATAATGATTTGATAGATGTATATATTGTGAAATGATTAGCACAATCAGTTTAACATCCATCACCTAACAGAATTACAAATTTTTTTCTTGTGATGAGTACTTCTAAGATCTATAAGATAAATAGTTCTGGGGATGTAATGTACAGCATGATAACTATAGTTAAAAATATATATTATATATTTGAAAGTTGCAAAGAGAGTAGATCAATCTTTAATTTTTAACTGATATTTAAAGAGATGGTTAGAAAATTGACCTGCTGCCTAAAATAAAATATTTTAAAGTCATTTTAAATCTTGTTTCATAGATGTTTGTTTGCTACTAATGGGTGTGAGCAAGTTAGATATTCTGTACCGGAGACTTCTCCTCACAAAACTTTTTATCAGAGGATGGGGGAGGCCAGAAGATCTCAAAAGGTAAGCATTTTTTTTTTCCAAATTTGCTTATTCTAAATTTGTTAGTAAACATTTAAAATTTTTTTTCAGTGAAAAAATCCTTTGCTATAAATACAAATGACTGGCAAATTAAGCATTGAAGTATGTGAAACGTAATTATTTCCTTTTGTCGTTTGTCTTTTTAATTATTTCTTTTAAGTTTTAAACCATATAATCATAAAGTGAACTATTTTAAAAGTAATTTTAAAATTAAAGTTAAAAATAAAGAGCCTTTAAATACAAGCTAGATTTTTAACTTTTATTATTTTTAAGTTGCTTAGAATTTCCAGGGACCGAACTTCCTTGGGTAACTTGAATTTGTAATGACAATAAAGCCGAGCTATACTGTAGCTCATGGAAATATCTGTACTTAAGAAAATGAATTTTCAGGATTTATGCCTTTAATTTTGAGTCTTCTATATGTTAACTGCTTTTTGAACAATGATATTTCTCACATATTTTATGAGACAAAATGTCCAGCTTGAATAAAAACCAATAGCCTCATCTTTTTCTCTAATGATTCAAATTAAATTTTGACATAGCTTATAAATTGGACTTGCAAATTTTTCAGCATTATACACTCTCAATACAATGGGCATACTGAATTTTTCCTTTTTCCCCCTTATCATAATAGACTCTTTGAATTCAGAAAAATGATTGGAAATCGAGAAAGATGTCAGAATCTGGTTTCAAGTGATTATCCAGTACACATCGATAAGGTATTTAAGTAAAAGAAATGAAGTTACAGAAATTCTGGTTTAACATAAATATGTGTCAAGAGTAGGTTGAGAGTGCCTGGGTGGCTCAGTTGGTTAAGCATCTGCCTTCGGCTCAGGGCGTGATCTCAGGGTCCTGGGATCAAGTCCCACATCAGGCTCCCTGCTCAGCAGGGAGTCTGCTTCTCCCTTCCATCTGTTGCTGCCCCCCCCCCCCCCCCCCCAGCTTGTGCTCTCTGGCTCTCTCTATCGAATAAAAAAAAAAATTAAAAAAAAAAAAAAAACAAAGAGTAGGTTGAATGTTAGACTATAATAACAGTAAACACTAAAACATGAGTATAGATTTTTCATTTAATATTATTAAATACTCTATGTGTCCTAAGAGGATGATTATAATAACTATCATTCATGTATATTTGAGAGCATATATTTAATACTTGCCTAAATACAAGAAAATATTTAAGTCTCGATCTTTTTGAGACTTGTTTTGTATCTTTAGGATCAGGAGGGTTAAAATAAATTATTCAACATCTCAGAAGAACTATAAGTAATACGGGGAAGTATTCTAGTTGGAGAATCAGCACATGAGAAGTTGTTGCCAAAACAGCTTCTATTTTTCTTAAATTTAATTTATTTATTTATTTATTTATTTATTTGAGAGAGAGAGAGCGTGCAGGGGGAGGGGCAGAGGGAGAGGGAGAAGCAGACTCCCCACTGAGCAGGGAGCCAGATGTGCGGCTCAATCCCAGGACTCTGGGATCATGATTTGAACTGAAGGCAGATACTTAACCGACTGAGCCACCCAGGCGCCCCATTAAAACAGCTTCTAAATAACATCAGGGAAATGTTATGTTAATTGATGGGAGAAGGGTAGAAAGAAAATGCTGTAACATTAGAGATGATGAGAAAATATATTTGAAATAGCTTTGTTTTTTAGCAACCATATGTTTTTCTGTAAAGCAGTTCTAGGTTTATGTAATTGGATAATTGAGGTATTGTTGGGGAGGGGGTACAAATGCATGGACTTCACATCCCTCATTGTCCTTCAAACGAAGTAACTCTACTTTCATCTCTTATGTATTGGATATCTTTAGGAGATTTCATTTTTCAAAACAGTTCCACTGCTAAAAACAAAATTTTATAAATTGGAAATCCCTTTTCTATACCATATAGCTATTCTTTCCGTAGCTTCTGGATTTAGAACACTTCTCCCTCAAATTTTGCTAAATATTTCTATTATCGCTGTTTTTTTCTATTAAAAATCATAGGCTTAAACAAATTAAAATTATACCAAGTAAAAAATCAAAACTCTATAACTTTCTGCCACTTTCCACCACTTAATTCCATTTCTCTCCCAAGGAGGAGTTACTGTTCAGATTTTGGAATGCATTCTTACAGAGTTCCTTCCTCTCCTGGTATTCTCCCCATCACTGTCTCTCTTGGTTTTTAAAAACCAAGATATAATTCACCTGCCATGGAATTCACCCTTTTAAAGTGTGCAGTTCAGTGTTTTGTTTTTTACTACATTCCCAAGATGTGCAATCATCACCACTATCATTACCTACTTCTGGAATATTTTTATCTCCCCCAAAAGAAACCATATACCCATTAGCTGTTACTTCCTACTTCCATACAGCCTCCTCCCTGCTGGCAGTCATTAGTCTGCTATTCTGTATGGATTCACCGATTCTGGACATTTCATATAAATGGAATCATTTAATATGAGGCCTTTTGTGTCTGGTGTATTTCACTGAACAAATTTTCAAGGTTCATCCATGTTATCTAACAATACCTCACTTTTTTATTGTTAAATAATATTCCATTGTATAGATATGTGACATTTTGTTTATCCATTTATCAGCTAATGGACATTTAGGTTTCTGCTTTTTGACTATTATGAATAACAATGCTATGAACATTCATGTGTAAGTGTTTTTGTGGATATGTGTTTTGAATTATTTAGATATATATAGGACTGGAATTTCTGGGTCATATGGTAATTCTATGTTTAACTTTTTGACAAACTAAAAACTGTTTTCCAAAGTGCGCCATTTTACTTTTCCCACCAGCAGTGTATAATGGTTCCAATTTGTCCACATTCTCACTAATATTTGTATTAAACAGCCATCCTAGTGGGTGTGAAGTGTATTTTATTGTGATTTTTGATATGCCTTTCCCTTAGGACTGTGATGTTGAGCATCTTTTCATGTGCTTATTGGCCATTTGCATATCTTCTTTGAAGAAATACCGATGAAATCATTGCCTTTTTTTTTTTTAAGATTTATTTATTTATTTTAGAGAGAGAGAGCAAGCGAGCACAGGGCAGGGGACAGAGGGACGGAGGGGGAGGGAGAGAATTTCAAGCACACTCCCCACCGAGTGTGGAACCCAACATGGGGCTTGATCTTGCCATCCTGAGATCATAACCTGAGCTGAAATCAAGAGTTGGACACTTAACTGACTGAGCCACCCAGGTGCCCCAAATCATTGCCTAATTTTTAACCGGGTTATTCATCTTTTTATTGTTGAGTTGTAGCTTAATTTTTAAATCTGTATTACTTATGGTTCTAAAATATCCTTTTTTTTCTTACCAAATTGCCAGTTGTCCCAACATTATTTGTTGAATTATTACTCCCTTTCACATTAATCTGTGCTACCTCCTTTATCAAATAATTTATTCTTCTAAATTATACAAAAAGAAAACTTTAAAACCATACTAGGAGGCACAAAGACTAAAATATAAAAACTTCTTGGATTAGAAATTTCATATCATACACATTGGGTCTCCTTACCATTTTCAAAAAATGCAGTGCAATCCTAGTTAAAATATTCAGTTTAGAACTAAAGTCTATAAAAGGATCCTAAAAGTATTTTGGGAAGAACCATGAGAGTATGAACAGATCAGGAATACCTAAAAAAGAAGAGTGTTAAGTAAAACCTAGTTCAGTCATTTACCAATAGGTATTATTAAGCTGCAGCATGATCAAAACAGCAAGATTTAGTACAAATAAAAGATAGGCTGATAAGCATTATAAACAATGGCCAAATTGTGGAAACAGCCCAAGTGTCCATTGACTGATGAATGGATAAAGAAGATGTGGGGGATATAAATATACATCATGGAATATATATATCATGGAATATTACTCAACCATAAAAAAGAATGAAATCTTGCCATTTGCAACAACATGGCTGGAGCTAGAAGGTATTATGCTAAGCAAAATAAGTCAGTGAGAAAGACAAATACCATACGATTTCACTCATGTGGAATTTAAGAAACAAAACAAATGAACAAAGGGAAAAAAGAGGGAGGCAAAGAAACAGACTCTTAACTATAGAGAACAAGTTGATGGTACCAGAGGGGAGGCAGATGGAGGAATGGGTGAAACAGGTGATGGGTAGTAAGGAGGGCACTTGCTGAGATAAGCACTGGGTGTTGTATGTTAAATGATGAATCACTAAATTCTACATCTGAAACTAGTATTGCACTGCATGTTAACCAGCTAGAATTTAAATTAAAACTTGGAAACTTAAAAAAAAAATGGGAGAAAAAAAGATAGGCTAATAAGAACCAATAAAGAATTGAAAATAATTTGCCAGGGGTGCCTGGGTGGCTCAGTTGATTAGGCATCTGCCTTCAGCTCAGGTCATGATCCCAGGGTCCTGGGACTGAGCCCTGCATGGGCTCCCAGCTCAGCAGAGAGCCTGCTTCTCCCTCTCCCTCTGCTGCTCTGCCTGCTTATGCTCTCTCTGTCAAATAAATAAATAAAATCTTTAAAAACAAAAAACAAAAAAAACTTAACTTTATGATAAAGTAGCATTTAAGTCATTTGCAAAAAAAAAAAATGTGGAGGGGCGCCTGACTGGTTCAGTCAGTTAAGTGTCTCCGTTTGGCTCAGGTCATGATCTCAGGGTCCTAGGGCTTGGTGGGGAGCCTGCATCTCCCTCTCCCTCTGCCTGCAGCTCCCCCTGCTTGTGTTCTCTCTCTGTCTCTCAAATAAATAAAATCTTTTTAAAAAATGTGGATTATTTAATGTAAGATCCTGACACTACTGATTAGAATTTGTATTTTAAAATGAGCTGGATATATATAGTATCTACAGATACAATTTTTTGTTTCCAATTTTAATGAAAATATGTGGTGTTTACTGCTAATTTAATTTTGACTACTGACCTGATAAAGATTTTTTATTTAAAAAATAATAATTTGGTGGGGTGCCTGGGTGGCTCAGTCATTAAAAGTCTGCCTTCGGCTCAGGTCATGATCCCAGGGTCCTGGGATCGAGCCCGGCATCAGGCTCCCTGCTCTGTGGGAAGCCTGCTTCTCCCTCTCCCACTCCCCCTGTTTGTGTTCCCACTCTTGCTATCTCTCTCTCTGTCAAATAAATAAATAAAGTCTTTAAAAAAATAATAATAACTTGGCTGGGGCCCCTGGGTGGCTCAGTCGTTAAGCTCCCACCTTCGGCTCAGGTCATGATCCCAGGGTCCTGGAATTGAGCCCTGTGTAGGGCTCCCTGCTCAATAGGGTGTCTGCTTCTCCCTCTGCCCCTCACCCCGCTCATATAAATAAAATAAATAAATAAAATCTTTTTAAAAAATAATATATAAACAAAAATAACTGTTTGAGGGGCACCTAGGTGGCTCTGTCAGTTAAGCATCTGACTCTTGGTTTTGGCTTGGGTCATGGTTTCATGGGTGGTGGGATCAAGCCCTGTGTCAGGCTCCATGCTCAGCAGGAGTCTATTTGAGATTCTTTCCCTCTGCTCCTCCTTATGCTCATGCTCTCTCTCTCTCTCAAATAAATAAATAAATTTTAAAAAAAGAACAAACCTATTTGAGGAGGGGAAAGTTTAGGTGTTAAATATTAGCAAATGCCTTTGCTGTGTATGTAAATATATATTTCTCCCTATTTAATGTGTTTATATGACTCATTGTGTCAATGGATTTCTTAAAATGAGCCATTCTAATATATTTAACATCAAGTCAACTCTTATTTGATTTCGGTAAATTATTTTTACGGTTTCTTTGTAAATTGTTCTTATGGTTATTTTATATTTTTAAGTTCTTCCAACTAGTATTTTATTTTGACTTATGCTGTTGTACAAATGAGGTTTATTTATAGTCTACTTTTCCTTTTTTTTTTTAAAGATTTTATTTATTTATTTGACAGAGAGAGAGAGAGAACACAAGCAGGGGGAGTGGGAGAGGGAGAAGCAGGCTTCCCGCAGAGCAGGGAGCCCGATGCGGGACTCGATCTCAGGACCCTGGGATCATGACCTGAGCCAAAGGCAGACGCTTAACAACTGAGCCACCCAGGCGCCCCTACTTTTCCTTTTTTTTTAAATTTTATTTATTTGAGAGAGAGAGAACAAGTGGGGGGAGGGGCAGAGGGGAAAAGCAGACTCCTTGCAGAGCAGGCCCCTGGGATCATGACCTGAGCCAAAGGCAGATGCTTAACCGACTGAGCCATTCAGGCACCCTATAGTTTACTTTTCCAACTGGCCTGTAATAAAGGATGTAAAAGGAAATGAAATGTGTATAAAAGCCATGTCTTTAGAAAGCTGACTGGGAATGGGGTGGCACCTGGGTGGCACAGCCAGTTAAGTGTCAGACTCTTGGTTTGGGCTCAGTCATGATCCCAGGGTCGTGAGATGAAGTCCCATGTTGGACTCTGCACTCAACACGAAGTCTGCTTGAGACTCTCTCTCCCTCCGCCCCTACCTGCTGAGCTTACTCACTCTTACTCTCTAAAATAAATAAACCTAAAGAAAGAAAGAAAGAAAGCTGACTGGGACAAAAGAATATGTAGTCATCAGTGAAAAAAAGTTTTTAATTGAATAGAACTGTTTTTATAGGAAAACATGTATGATAGACCAAGATATCTTAGTCTACATGTATACATTTTGGTTTTGCTTTTCTTTTAGATTGAAGAGCAATCAGACTGTAAGATCCTAGATGGGCACTTTGTTTCCCCCATGGCCCACTATGTGCCTGATATAATGCCAATTGAATCTGTTATTGCAAGGTAAGAATTTTTAATCAGAAAATTAAAGTAAGTTATTTTTTTATTTATAATTATAATAAAATCAATGCAATGTTATTTTGAATTGCTAGTATTAATTACAATCATTATTTGGCATTACTCCCATTAAACGTGGGTTGGGGCAGAATAAAAATATAGAGCTCTATAGTATGTATTCAAACTTAAGTTGTTATCACCTTAAAATAGATTTATAAATATAAAATGATTTATATAAGCCTGATAGAACCACAAAGCTAAAACCTACTGGATAAACAAAAAAGAAATAAATCTAGGTGTACCTTAGAGAAAATCATGAAATCACAGAGACAAAAAGAAGGAACAAAAGGATAATAAAACAATCAGAAAACAATAAACAAAATGACAATAGTAAATTAATATCTATCAATAACCACTTTAAATGTAAATCAACTAAATTCTCTAATCAAAAGACTTAGAATGCCTGAATGGATTAAAAAACAGGACCCAACTGTATGCTGCCTATAAGAGATTCACTTCAGGGGCACCTCGCTGGCTCAGTTGGAAGAGTATGGGACTCTTGATCTCAAGGTCGTGAGTTTGAGCCCCACGTTGGGTGTAGAGAATACTTACGTAAGTATATAACCTGCTGAGCTTGCTTACTCTCTCTCTCTGCTAAAGAGAGACTCACTTCAGATGCAAGGACATACACAGACTGAAAATGAAGGGATGGAAAAGATATTCCATGCAAATGAAAATCAAAAGAAAGTAGAGGTAGCTATATTATACCATACAAAATAGACTTTATTTATTTATTTATTTATTTATTTTTAAAGATTTTATTTATTTATTTGACAGAGAGAGAGACACAGCGAGAGCAGGAACACAAGCAGGGGGAGTGGGAGAGGGAGAAGCAGGTCTCCTGCCGAGCAGGGAGCCTGATGTGGGACTCGATCCCAGGACCCTGGGATCATGACCTGAGCCGAAGGCAGACGCTTAACGACTGAGCCACCCAGGTGCCCCAAAATAGACTTTAAGACAAAGATTGGTAAGGGACAAGGAAGGTCATTATATAATGATAAAGGGATCAATCTAATGAGAGGATATGACATTTGTAAATATTTATGCACCCAACATAGGAACTAAATACATAAAAAAAAATTAACAAACTTGAAGGCAGCAATACAATAACAATAGGAAGCTTTGATACTTGACTTGCAACAGTGGATAGTTAATCCATACAGAAAATCAGTAAGAAAACATTGAACTCAAACTATCCATTAGACCAGATGGACTTAACAGACATTCACAGAACATTGTATCCAACAGCATCTTTTAAAATGCACAGGGAGCATTCACCAGGATAGATCATACATTAGTCACAAAACAAATCTTAATTTAAGAATTTTTTTAAAGATTTTATTTATTTATTTGACAGAGAGAGAGACAGCGAGAGAGGGAGCACAGCAGGGGGAGTGGGAAAGGGAGAAGCAGGCCTCCTGTGGAGCAGGGAGCCTGATGCGGGGCTCGATCGCGGGACCCTGGGATCATGACCTGAGCCGAAGGCAGACGCTTGATGACTGAGCCTCCCAGGCACCCCAAATTTAAGAAATTGAAATCAAATCTAGCATCTTTTCCAACCACATTGGTATGAAACTAGAAACAAGAAGAAAACTGGAAAACTGACAAATATGTGTAGATTAAACAGCATGCTATTGAAACACCAGTGGGTCAAAGAAGAAATCAAAAGAGAAATCAAAAACACCTTGGGATTGGGCGCCTGGGTGGCTCAGTTGGTTAAGCGACTGCCTTCGGCTCAGGTCATGATCCTAGAGTCCCGGGATTGAGTCCCGCATCAGGCTCCCTGCTCGGCAGGGAGTCTGCTTCTCCCTCTGACCCAACCCCCTCTCATGCTCTCTCTCTCTCTCTCATTCTCTCAAATAAATAAATAAAATTTAAAAAAATCTATCAAAAACACCTTGGGATAAATGATAATGGAAGTACAACATACCCAAATTTATGGAGTACAGCAAAAGCAATTCTAAGAGGGAGGTTCATAGTGATAAACACCTACATTAAAAAAAAGAACTTTTATAAAAATAAACAACCTGAGTTACACCAGGAACTAAAAAAAGAACAAACCAAGCCCAAAGTTAGTAGAAGGAAGGAATTAGTATGGATCAGAGATGAAATAAATTAAATAGTGACTCTAAAGATAATAGAAAAGATCAATGAAACTAAGAGTTGTGTTTTTGAAAAGATAAACAAAATAAACAAACTTTTAGCTAGGCTACCAAGAAATAGAGAGGTCTCAAGTAAAATTAGAAATGAAAGAGGAGCCATTACAGCTGATATCACATAAATAGGAAAAATCATGAGACTACTGTGAATAATTATACACCAATCAGTTGGATAACCTAGGAGAAATGGATAAATTCCTAGAAATGTGCAACCTACCAAGACTTAATCATGAAGAAATATAAAATCTGAACAGACCAATTACCCATAAGGAAATTTAATCAGTAATCAAAAATTTCCCAAAAAAGACAAGTCAAGGACCAGATGACTACATTGGTGAATTCTGCCAAACATTTAAAGAAGAATTAATAATAATCCTTCTCAAACTCTTTGAAAAAATTGAAGAGGAGGGAACCTTCTAAATTCATTTTACGAGGCCAACATTACTTTATTACCAAAACCAGACAAGCCATAAGGAAAGAAAATTACAAGCCAGTATTCCTACTGAACATAGATGTAAAAATCCCCAACAAAATACTAGCAATCCAAATTCAACAATACACAAAAAGGATCATATACTATGATTAAGTGGGATTTGGGCACCTGGATGGCTCAGTTGGTTGGGCAACTGCCTTCGGCTCAGGTCATGATCCTGGAGTCCTGGGATCGAGTCCCACATTGGGCTCCCTGCTCAGGGGGGAGTCTGCTTCTCCCTCTGACCCTCCCCCCTCTCATGCTCTCTCTTTCTCATTCTCTCTCTCAAATAAATAAATAAAATCTTAAAAAAAAAAAAAGGTGGGATTTATCCCAGGGATACAAAGATGGTTCAACATCTGCAAATCACTGTGGCATACCACATAGACAAAATGAAGGATACAAATCATATGTTGATCTCAATGGAAATAGGAAAAGCATTTGACAAAATTCAACATCCATTTATGATAAAAACTCTCAACAAACTTTTATAGAAGGAACATATGTCAATATAATAAAGGCTATGTATTAACAAGCTCATAGCTAATGTCATACTAAATGGCGAAAAATTAAAATCTTTTCCTCTAATATCAGGAACAAGACAACTATGCAAACTGTTACCACTTTTATTCAACAGAATATTGGAAGTCCTAGCCAGAGCAATTAGGCAAGAAAAAGAAAGGCATCCAAATCAGAAAGGAAGAAATAAAACTCTGTTTACACATGACATGATATTATGTATAGAAAAGCCTGAAGGCTCCACCAAAAACCTGCTAGAACTAATAAACAAGTTCAGTAAAGTTGTAAGATACAAATGCAATATACAAAAATCAGTTGCATTTCTATACACTAATAAGCCTTCAGAAAAATTAGAAAACAATCCTATTTACAGTTGCATGAAGAAGAATAAAATACCTAAGAATAAATTTAACCAAGGAGGTAAAAGGACCTGTATGCTGCAAACTATAAGACATTGATGAAAGAAACTGAAGATGACACAAATAAATGGAAAGATACTCCATGCTCATGGATTGGAAGAATTAATATTGTTACAAAGTCCATACGTTTGCAGTCTGCAGATGCAGTGCTATCCCTATCAAAATTCCAATGGTATTTTTCAAAGAAATAGAAGAAATGATCTTAAATTTTGTATGGAACCACAAGAAAACCTGACTAGCCAATGCAATCTTGAGTAAGAAGAACAAATCTGGAGGCATCACACTTCCTGACCTCAAACTATTATAATACAAAGCCATAGTCAAAAGAATATGGTATTGGCATAAAAACAGACACATTGATCAATGAAACAGAATAGAGAGCCCAGAAATAAACCCACCGTATATGGTCAATTAATTTATGACAGAAGAACCAAGAATGTACAATGGGTAGAATCTCTTCAATAAATGGTATTAGAAAGACTGGACAGTCACATGCAAAAGAATGAAACTGGACCAATATCTTGCACCAAATGAAAATTAACTCAAAATGGAGTAAAGACTTGAACATAATGTTGAAACTATAAAACTCCTAGAAGAAAATATGGGTGGTTACCTCCTTGACATCAGTCTCGGAGTTGATTTTATGGATCTGACACCAAAGCAAAGGCAACAAAAGCAAAAATAAACAACTTGGAACTACATCAAACTAAAAAGCTTCTGCACAATGAAGGAGACCATCAACAAAATGAAAAGGCAGCCTGTGAAATGGGAGAAAATATTGGCAAATCCTTTATCTGATAAGGGGTTAATATTAAAATATATATTTTTAAGATTTTTTAAAGGATTTTCTTTATTTATTTGACACAGAGAGAAAGCACAAGTAGGCAGAGCAGCAGGCAGAGAGAGAGGGAGAAGCAGGCTCTCCACTGAGCAGGGAGCCCAGTGTGGGGCTCAATCCCAGGACCAAATGAGCCAATATATTTAAAAACTCATACAACTTGGGGCGCCTAGGTGGCTCAGTCGTCAAGTGTCTGCCTTCGGCTCAGGTCATGATCCCAGGATCCTGGGATCAGTCCCCGCATCGTGCTCCCTGCTCTGCAGGAGGCCTGCTTCTCCCTCTCCCACTCCCCCTGCTTGTGCTCCCTCTCTCACTCTCTCTGTCAAATAAATAAAATTTTTAAAAAAATTAAAAAATTAAAAAAACTCATACAACTTAGTAGCAAAAAACAAATGATTAAAAAATGGGCAGGGGGGGTGCCTGGGTGGCTCAGTCATTAAGCGTCTGCCTTCGCCTCAGGTCATGATCCAGGGGTCCTGGAATTGAGCCCCGCATCCGGCTCCCTGCTCAGTGGAAAGCCTCCTTCTCCCTCTCCCACCCCCTGCTGTGTTCCCTCTCTTGCTGTGTCTCTCTCTGTCAGATAAATAAATAGAATCTTTAAAAAAAAATGGGCAGAGGAACTGAATAGACATTTTCCAAAGAAGACATAAATGTGGTCAACAGATACCTGAAAAGGTGCTCAACATCACTAACCATCAAAAAAAAGGGGGGGCATAAAAACAGACCCCAAAATACCAAATACCAGAAGCAAAACCACAATGAGATATTACCTCACACCTGTTAGAATGGCTATTATTAAAAAACAAGAGATAACAAGTATTGGTGAGGATGTGGAGAAAAGGGAACCCTTGGGTACCGTTGGTGGGAATGTAAATTGCTGTAGCCACTATGGGAAACACTATGGAAGTTCCTCAAAATTTAAAGTAGAACTACCATATGATCCAGCCATTCCACTTCTGGATATTTATTTGAAGGAAATAAGAATGTTAACTTGGGAAGATACCTGTACTCCTATGTTCATTGCAGCATTATTTATAATAGCTAAAGCATGGAAACAACCTTAGTGTCCATCAGTGGATAAAAGGATAAAGAAGTGGTATATATATATAGAGTGCAGTATCATCCAGACAAAAAAAAGAAGGAAATTCTCCCATTTGCAATTACATGGATGGACCTTGAGACCATTATGCTAAGTGAAATAAGTCAGAGAAAGATGAATACCATATGATCTCACTTATATGTAGAATCTAAAACAACAGCAACCTTGAACTCATAGATACAGAGAACAGACTGGTAGTTGCCAGAGTTGGAGGTGGCGGGGGTGGTGGGTGAAATGGGAGAAAGTGGTCAAAAGGTACAAACTTCCAGTTATAAAATAGATAAGTCTTGAGGATGTAATAACAGCATGGTGACTATAGTTAATCTAAATATTGTATATTTGAAAATTGCTATGAGAGTAGATCTTTTTTTATTTCATTTTATTTTATATATATTTTTTCTTTTTTTAATTTAAATTCAATTAATATATAATGTATTGTTTCAGGAGTACAGGTTTGTGATTCAGCAATCTTATATAATACCCAGTGCTCATTACAACACATACCTTCCCCAGTGTCCATCACCCTGCTACCCCATCCCCCTACCCCCCTCCCCTCCAGCAACCCTCTGTTTCCTAAGATTAATAAGAGTCTCTTATGGTTTATCTCCTTCTCTGGTTTCGTCTCGTTTCATTTTTTCCTCTCTTCCCGTATGATCCTCTGCCTTGTTTCTTAAATTCCACATATCAGTGAGATCATATGAAAGTAAGATCTTAAAAAAGTTATCACAAGTAAAAAGAATTTTGTAACTATGTGTGGTGATGGATGTTAAATAAACTTCTTGTTGTGATCATTTCACAATATATACATATATCAAATCATTATGTTACACACCTTAAACTAATAATATATGTTTATCTTATTTTTTAAAAAGAGATTTTAGAAGCTGAAAATGGGAAGCCATTAAGATCTATATAGATACTTCACCTACTTCCTTTTCTTGGATGCTTCATGGTCTCTTATCTCTGCTTTATGACCCATGTCATTTCTCTGTGGGTAGGTTAGCTTTCTCTGTTTCTCATGCAACTGACAAAAAATAGCTACCACACCTGCAAAGCTTTCATGTCCAAAAGCTCAACAGAATCTAGAGTCTGTCTTACTTCCAGATTACCAAAAGAACAAATCTTATTGCCCTAATTTGGCCTACTCCAGGCTTCCAATCAACTCTAGCAGAGAAGCTCACATGAACTATACCCATTTATCATGGGGCACTGGAAGATACTCTGTGAGAAGATACTATAATAAGAGCAGACAGACTAATTAATGAGCGTCTGCTGAAGAAGTGGTCATTATTACTGTGATAAAAGATTTCTATTAATTTAAAGCTATTCTCCATAATGAAGCCTCTATATGCACTGCTATGGGACAGAAGGAAGAAAAAATAGCAGCGATATCCAGCATTCTATGGAAAACATTTTTAAATGTTTTCATTTCCCACAAATCATCAAAATATCAAGAAGCAGGATAGTTCTGAGAATGCAAAACAAAGCAGAGTTGTTAACATTGCTAGTTTTATGAGAATAAAAATTAAGAGTTAGTTGCCATGAGCACAAAACAGAAATAACCATTGAACCCTTCTAAATGTACTTGTCTATGTTCTGTATTAAATAATTTATTGATAACAGATAACTAGGGATATTGTCCCCTGTCCAAGCAAAATAAGCTCAGAATTGAGGTTTATGTTGCCTGAGAACGCAGCTACCTAAGGTCAAACTTTGAGCTGACCAAGTGTAGTATTATACTGTGATAATAATTCTAAAACATCTGCTAAGGAAATTAAAAAGACAAGTAAGTCAGTTTGGGAAGATAAAGTTCTTGAATGGTGAACTTTATCATTTATGATGAAGTTATGAATGGTGTTGATTGTTGCACAACAACGTAAATGTATTTAATGCCACTGAACCATACAACTTAAAAAAGGTTAAAATGGAAAATTTTGTTATATGTATTTTATAACAATTAAAAAGTTCTATAGGAAAAAAATATTAAATGAAAGGCGAAATACTATAGTACGAAGATGACAAATAGAGAAAACTTTTTTTCTGCCGTGGATTGCTTTTACACTCCAAATTGAAAAACAAAATTGATAACAAACTATTTTATTGATACATTAACAGCTTGTACAACTAAGCATTATTCCTACAACGAGAAGAAGCAGAGCTATCTAAAGAGTTGTTTTTTTCTAAGACTTACTCATATATATTAATATCTCGGCAAAATAAGAATACTTCATTATGCATTTATAAAGTGGTATTGAACAAGGTAAAAATGATTACAATAAATTCCATGTTTTATATTGTACTGAATGTTTTAATATGCTAACACAAAGCAAATTTATATCTTAGTTGCCTTTGTGCAAACATTAATTAATCATAATTTTTATGTCAAAATTCTGAATGATCTTTTCTCCCAAATAATTTAATTATGTAACTTTTACAAATTTGAAAGTTTGTATTAAAAAACCTTTTAAAGAGAATTTCACAGATCTGTTTTATTTTAAATAGGTTCCAACTTATTGTTCCTAAAGAATGGAACAGCAAATATAAACCTGTATGCATTCATCTTGCTGGAACAGGAGATCATGTAAGACTCTTATTATAATGCCTTAATCCCTAATTTGTTAACATATTGTGTAACACAGATGTGGTTATTATATTCTTTAAGTATGCCATCTTTTCTTTCCTTAGCATTACTGGAGACGACGAACACTAATGGCTCGTCCTATGATTAAAGAAGCCCGAATGGCTTCTTTGTTGTTAGAAAACCCTTATTATATCCTTTTGTGATACCTAGAAATCTTTCATTTATTGATTAATAGATTTAGTCATCAAAAGGAATGATAGTTAGTAACCAGCTTTTCTAAACCAGTTAAATTTAGTTGTCAGTTCAGAAAATATTTAAGAAGCAAGAGTGAAAAATTGTTTCATGCCTTTAAAAAAACAATGTAGGGATTATGGTTCTACTGTATAATAAAGATAAATTGTACATCTTTTTCTTATAAAACTTATGCTGGATTTTAATATTAAGTCAAATGTTTGCTATTAAGGAAACCCTCATGTTTTAAATGCATTTACATTTAAGTCATCAGTTGAGGTTTAGAACAGTACTTAACTTAACTTTCAAGATGACGTCAGACTATTCCCAGAAGAAGAAACGAAAGTGATGCACAGATATAAAGAAATGTTCAACGTTGCTGGTAATAAGAGAAATGTAAAGTTAAAGCAACATTACCAAAGATTTAAAAAATAAAACACAATAGTTGTGAGGCTATTGTAAAAAAAAAAAAAATAGGCCTTCTTATTATTAATGGCTGTGAAAACCAGTTTAATCCTTTGGGAAAGCATTTTTACCATCTGTAACAGGAGCCTTAAAAAATTTTATGTCCCTTGACAGTGATTTTGATTCTTGGAAATTTATTCTAAGGATAAAATACTAAGAAAAGAGCAGCGCCTGGGTGGCTCAGTCAGTTAAGTGGATGACTGGATTTTGGCTTAGGTCATGATCTCACGGTTGTAAGGTTGAGTCCTGCATTGGGCTTAGGCGCTGGGCGTGGAGCCTGCTTAAGATTCTCTCTCTCCCTCTCCCTCTTCCCTGCCCCCATCTCTTAAAAAAAAAAAAGAAAACTAATAAAAGAGAAAGTGATAGAAAACAAAAAAGATATTTATATAGCTTTATTTATGATAGTAAGACATTAGGAATAGCTTAAATGTCTAATAATAGAAAAAGTTGAGTAAATTGTGGCTCATAATATTAGAATATTATGCAGTTGGTTATGTTTTTTGCTCTACCACTTTAGTATCTGTATGACCTCAGATGTGTTACTTAACCTTTAAACTTCAATTTTTTTGTTGGTAAATGGGAATAATCTCTGAAGTTATTCCTAGTATTAAGTACTTAATACTGTCTAGAATGGTGCCTGGTAAATAACAAACATTCGGTAAATTTTAATGGTTAGGTTTACAGTAATTTATGAAAAGTACAGTGTAAAAATAGGGAACAAAACTCTGTGGTATGACAGAAAAACCTAAAAACAGAAAATCCATTAAAAAAAACTGCATAAGGAAAAAATACTGGAACTACACCAAAATATTAATATGGTTGTCTGTAGATGAAGTAGTTTTTCTTCTAATATGCTTTTCTGTATTTTCTAGATTTTCTATAATCAACATATAAAAATGAAAAAAAAAACTTCATTTACAAAATTAAGTTGAAGATTGCACAACCCTTTGGATATACTAAACATATTAAACTGTACCCTTAAAATGGGTGAATTGTATGGTATGTGATATCAATAAAGCTGTTTTTTAAAAAGAAAAAAAATAAGTTGAAAACCCTGAGGACTCAACAGCGTATTTGAGATAACTAGAAAATAGTTATTTCAGTATCAAATTGTGTTCAAATGTAACTATTTTGCTTAAGTTCATGTGTTTTGAGACACATTATTTAATTATTTTAAAACTTTCTCTTTGACCCACATTTTTAAATGGCTGCAGGAAGCCCAAGGACCAAATGTAAGTATATATCACCCTCACTTTTGTAGTCTTTATACCAAATTAAATTGAAATTTTTGTTAGTCTTCAGTTAATCATTTCTAAATTTAACAAGCAAATATTATTTGGGGAAAAATTCTGTTATAAAACTGTAGTAGGAATGTTGACTTATTTTTATTTTAAGCTTTTTCACTTAACATGTTTGGTAAAGAGATAAATAAGAAATTTTTAATAGACTGATGGAAGATATGTTTTATTTATAAAATAGTAACTGAAGAAATGTTAAAACATTTTCCTTCTTAAAGTACATTTACTTCGTAAAATTAAACACCACTCTTTATTCTTACAATTTATGGTATGGGTAATCTAAAGATAATCTCTTTTTGGTCTTTCAAAATGATGAACTTTGAAGGCGATTTTTTTGCATTTCCATAATCTATATATTGTGTTTGGTTTTGATTCATTCAATAAATGTCTGATCTAAGACACTGGGAAGATAGCAACAAAAAGACAAGGTCCTTACTGTCATAGAGCTTATATTCTAGGATGGAAGATAGGTAAAAATAAGTAAGATGATTTTGGATATTTACCAATGCCATGAAGAAAATAAAGCAGGGAAATCAAGTAAAGAATAATAGAGGGTAAGTGCAGAGTTGGAAAAGTATTAGATATGAGGACATGACATCTTGGGAAGGAGCCACCAAGGTGAAGACCTGGAGGAAGCCTCAGAGAAGGACGAATAAATGAAAAGCCTGATATAAGCATGAGGTGGGAGAGTAGTATAAGATGAGGGCAGAAATGAGGGCAAGGGCCAGATTTATGAAGAGCCATGTGCTTTGAATTTTACTGTCAATGCAGTTGGAAATCTTTGGAAGACTTTAAGCAGAGGAATGATCTGATTTGTGCTTTTAAAGGCTCATTTTGGCTTACTGGGACAAGAGTAGCAGCAGAAAAATTAAATAGGAAGCTATTGCAATAATGCAGGGGAAAAAAAGCAACTTTAAGATAGTGGCAGTGGAAATGGAAAGAAGTTCTAATGGATTTGAGATATAATTTAGAAGTTGAAATAAGACTTGTTGATAAATTATGAATATTGTTGGTAAGAAATCAAAAGTTCTGACTTGCATGTGTTAAATTAGTGATGTCTGTTAGATCTGCAGGTGAAGTTAAGTAGGGAGTTGGAAAGTTCTGGAGAGGTAGATTTAGAAGTCACATGTTCTATGTGGTCATGACATGGAAGAGATATAGATGAAAGTGGGGTACATTGGAAGCAAACCTATATCCTATGAAGGATAGTTTAGAATAAACTTAGTGAGGGGCACCTGGGTGGCTTAGTCTGTTAAGTGTCTGAATCCTGATCTTAGCTCAGGTCTTGATCTCAGGGTTCTGAGTTCGAGTTCAAGCCCTGCATTGGGCTCCATGCTGGGCTTGGAGCCTACTTAAAAAAAAAATTAATAAATAAATATATATATATATGCATACATATATATGTATAAGTTATACACACACACATACATATATAAAAGAATAAACTTTGTGAAATGTGAAAATTAATGTCCAAGCTAAATAGTTAAAGAATTCTTACTCTGGGGATGCCTGGGTGGCTCAGTTGGTTAAGCGTCTGCCTTTGGCTCAGGTCGTGATTCCAGGGTCCTGGGATCAAGTCCTACATCAGGCTCCTTACTTGGCAGGGAGCCTGTTTCTCCCTCTGCCTGCTTCTCCCTCTGCTTGTGCTCTCTCTCACACAAATAAGTAAATAAAATCTTTAAAAAAAAAAAAAAGAATTCTTACCCTGGAACCAAGTTCTGAATTCAGAACTAGGTATGTCATTTTTACCCTGTTTATTGGTGCTTAAAAACCCAAAAGAGTTTATTGAGTTGTAGTTAGAGGCAGCATGGGTTTAATGGAAAGTCTTTGACTTTGGAGTCACACAGACATAGGTTGCAATCGTAACTTGCCATTTAATAATTGTATGCCTTGGTCTAAGTATCTGTTACCTACCTCATTTATAAAGTGGAAATACTATATAATTTCTTCCATACAGAATTGATGTGAGAATCATGTTTATAAAATATTCTTATCACATATCATATATCCAAGAAATACAGTATTTGATTTTTTTCAAGTAATTCGTTGTAAGAAATGGCTTGCAATTTAAATAATGAACAATTATTTTTTATCTCTTTTTAAAAGGCATCTTATGCCTATTTTCAGTGCTTAAACATTTTGAAACTGGGTCCACTGTTATAAATAACTACTGTCCCAGAACCCCATATCAGTAACTTTTATATAAAAGAGCAAACTGAGGTGTACCTGAGAATTCAAACTTCCATACCAGGCCAAAATAAATAATCAGGGGAATTATGTGATAATAAGTAGAAAATTGGAATGATGATAAGAAACAAATATAAGGATACATGGGCTTTTTTATGAGGAAGTACATATATGATCTGTTTTGACAGAGTTTTCATAAATTCTGCCTTATGGAACTTAGAGCTCTGAGAGGATGTGGTAGAACAGTGGATATAAGTTCCTTGGGGGCCAGAATTCTGTTTTTCACAACTTGGCATTCTTATGACACTAGATGTTTGTGCATAATCATTCTACAGATACATATAATAAACAACCATTAATAAAATGAATTTTTGTTGAAAATTTTGAAATTTTGAGGTTGAAAAACCTTGACAAGGTTTCATCCAGAAGCCAGTCATGTATGTCTTTATATGAACTAAATTTTGAAAATAGATTCTAATTTGGACTCTTCAGTAATAAGATAGTATTATTTTTTATCACTATACAGGCATACCTTGGAGATATTGTGGGTTCAGTTGCAGACCACCACAATAAAGGGAATATTGCAATAAAGCAACTTAAATGAATTTTTTGGTTTCCAGTGCATATAAAAATTATGTTTACACTATACTGTAGTCTGTTAAGTGTGCAATAGCATTATGTCTAAAAAACCAATGTACATACCTTTAAAAATATTTTATTGCTGGGGCACCTGGGTGGCTCAGTCGTTGAGCATCCGACTCTTGATTTCAGCTTGGGTCATGATCTCAGGGTCATGGATCAAGCCCTGTATCTGGGCTCCCTGCTCAGTAGGGAGTCTGCCGTTCTCCATCTCCTGCTGCCCCCCATCTCTCTCTCAGTAAAATAAATAAATGGATCTTTAAAAAAATATATTTTATTACTCCGAGTTATGGAGTGAATAAGTCATAGGAATAAAAGGTACAGCATAGGGAATATAGTCAGTGGTATTGTAATAGCACTATATGGTGACAGATGGTAGCTACACTTGTGTGCATAGTATAACATATGGGCTTGTCAACTCACTATGTTGTACACCTGAAACTAATGTAACATTGTGTATCAACTATACTTCAATAAAATAAAATAAAATAAGCTTTATTGCTAAAAAATGCTAACCATTATCAGAGCTTTCAGCAAGGCATTATCTTTGCTGGTGGAGGGTCTTGCCTCAATGTTTATGGCTGCTGACTGATCAGGGTGGTGGTTACTGAAGGTTGGGTGGCTGTGGTAATTTCTTAAAACAATAATGAAGTTTGCCACATCAATTTACTCTTCCTTTCACAATTTCTCTGAAGCTCGTGATGCTGTTTCATAGCATTTTTACCCACAATAGATCTTCCAAAATTGGGAGTCCATCCTCCCAAACCCTGCCACTGATTTATCAACTAAGTTTATGTAATATTCTAAATCCTTTGTTGTCATTCAGCAATTTTCACAGCATCTTCACCAAGTTTAGATTCCATCTCAAGAAAGCATTTTCTTTGCTCATCCGTAAGAAGCAATTCCTCGTCCATTAAAGGTTTATCATGAGATTGCAACAATTCAGTCTCATCCTCAGGCTTTACTTCTAATTCTAGTTCCTTTGCTATTTCTACCACATCTGCTGTTACTTACTCCACTGAAAGTCAAAGTCATCCATGAGGGTTGGAATCAAATTCTTCCAAACTCCTGTGAATGTTGATATTTTGACCTCTTCCTGTGAATCACAAGTGATCTTACTAGTATCTAGAATGGTGACCCCTTTCCAGAAAATTTTCAATTGGCTTTGTCCAGATCCATCAGAGGAGTCACTATCTATGGTAGCTATAGCCTTATGAAATGCAGTTCTTAAATAATAAGACTTGAAAGTAAAAATTATTCCTTTACCCATGGACTGTAGAATGGATGTTGTGTTAGCAGGCCTGAAAATATTAATCTTGTTGTACATCCCATCAGAGCTCTTGGGTGACCAAGTGCATAGTCAGTGCAGTGCAATGCAGTCATGTTTTGGAAGGAGTCTTTTTCTGAGCAAGTAGATCTCAACAGTGGGCTTAAAATATTCTGTTACCATGTTGTCAACAGATGCACTGTCATCTAAGCTTTGTTCCATTTATAGAGGAAGGCATAGTAGATTTAGCATAATTCTTAAGAGCTCTAGGATTTTTGAAATGGTAAGTGAGTCCTGGCTTCAACTTAAAAGACACCAGCTGCATTAGCCCCTAACAAGACAGTCAGCCCCTCCTTTGAAGCTTTGAAGCCAGGCATTGACATCTCCTCTCTAGCTATGAAAGCCCTAGATGGCATCTTCTTCCAACAGAATGCTGTTTTTCAATATTGAAAATCTGTTGTTGAGGGGCGTCTTGGTGGCTTGGTCAGTTGGGCATCTGCCTTCTGTTCGGGTCATGTTCCCAGGGTCCTGGGATCGAGCCCCGCGTCTGCCTCCCTGCTCAGCAGGGAGCCTGCTTCTCCCTCTCCCTCTGCTGTTCACCCTGCTTGTGCTCAATCTCCCTCCCTCTCTCTCTCTCTCTGTCAAATGAATAAATAAAATCTTAAAAAAAAAAGAAAAAATCTATTGTTGGATTTGGTGGCTCAATTGGTTAAGCGTCTGACTTCTGATTTTGGCTCAGGTCATGCTCTCAGGGTCATGGGATCGAGCCCTGCGTCAGGCTCCACACGCTGTGGGGAGTCTGCTTAAGGATTCTCTCCTCCCTCTCCCCCTCCCTCCACTTGCCTGCTCTCTCTCTCTCTCTCAAATTAAATAAATAAATAAATAAATGAATGAATGAATGAATGAATGAATGAATAAAATCTGTTGTTTAAGTGTAGCCCCCCTCATTAATTATCTTAGCTAGATCTTCTGGATAACTTCGCTGTAGCTTCCACATCAGCACTTACTGCTTCAGCTTGCACTTTTATGTTATGGAGATGGCTTCCTTTCTTTTCTTTTTTTTTTTTACGATTTATTTTATAGAGAGTGTGCGAGAGTGGGGGAAGGAGCAGAGGGAGAGAGAGAATCTCAAGTGGACTCCCTGCTGAGTGTGGAGCCTGAAGTGAGGCTTAATCTAGGGACCCTGCATTCATGACCTGAGCTGAAATCAAGAGTTGGTCGGTTAACCAATGGAGCCACCCAGCTGTTCTGATCCCTTCCTTTCTTAAACCTCATGAAGCAACCTCTTATTTTTTTTTTAAGATTTTATTTATTTATTTGACAGAACACACACAGGCAGGGGGAGTGACAGGTAGAGGGAGAGGGAGAAGCAGACTCCCCACAGAGCAGGGAGCCGGATGCAGGACTTGATCCCAGGACCCTGGGATCATGACCTGAACCCAAGGCAGCAGCTTAACCAACTGAGCCATGCAGGCACCCGAAGCAACCTCTTTTAGCTTCAAACTGTTCTGCAGCTTCCTCACCTCCTCCTCAGCCTTCATAGAATTGAAGAGAGGTAGGGCCTTCCTCTGGAATAGGCTTTGGCTTAAGGGAATGTTATGGCTGTTTCAATTTTCTCTCCAGACCAGTAAAACTTTCTCTGCATCGGCAAGAAGACTATTTTGCTTTCTATTTTGTGGGTTTACTGGAGTAGTACTTTTAATTTCCTTCAAGAACTTTTCCTTTGCATTTACAACTTGGCTAACTGTTTGCTGCATGAGGCCTAGCTTTTGGCCTATCTCAGTTTTTGACATCCCTTCCTTACTGAGTTTGATCACTTCTAGCTTTTGATTTCTATTATTTATTTGTTTGTTTGTTTTTTAAGATTTTTTATTTATTTGACAGAGACACAGCAAGAGAGGGAACACAAGCGGGGGAGTGGAGGAGGGAGAAGCAGGCTTCCCGCGGAGCAGGGAGCCTGATGTGGGGCTTGATCCCAAGACCCTGGGATCGTGACCTGAGCCGAAGGCAGACACCCAACGACTGAGCCACCCAGGCACCCCCCCAAAAAAAGATCATTTAAGTACACTTCTAAGGAAATGTATTTATATGTAAAATTAATTTCTAAAGACAGGAAATTCTAGTTGAATTGGTCTTTAAGTTAATCAAAACATGTATTTTTATAAAAAATTACTTTTCCAACCAACTTTTAATTATAAAATAAATAAGTCATGGATATGAAAAGTACAACATGGGGAACATAGTCAAGAATATTGTAATAACATTATATAGTGACAGATGGTGACTACGATTACCATGGTGAGCACTGAGTAGTGTGTGTGTGTGTGTGTGTGTGTGTGTGTGTGTATGAAACTAATATGATGTATGTTAATTATACTACAATTTAAAAAAAATTTTCTGGTTGATTATATTCATAAATTGTGTATTTTGCGGAAATAAGCAACATATTTAAGATTTTGGAAATACATGAGCATTAGGTTAAATTCTTTTACATTGCCTTTTAAAAATTTTTATGCTTTAAGTTCTATTGTAATAATAGGAGGGACAACTATGAATTGTTTTTTTTAACAGTTTTTTTTTAAGATTTTTTATTTATTTATTTGACAGAGAGGCACAGCGAGAGAGGGAACACAAGCAGGGGGAGTGGGAGAGGGAGAAGCAGGCTTCCCGCCAAACAGGGAACCTGACACGGGGCTCGGTCCCAGAACCCTGGGGCCATGACTGGAGTGGAAGGCAGACGCTTAACGACTGAGCCACCCAGGCGCCCCTTTAACAGTTTTTTTAAGTGCTATCAAATAAATATTATTTCCTGGGCTTCAAAATAGTTAAATAATTGAAATTCAATAAAGATTCAATAAACATATGTAGCTCTTAAAAATAAGTTTTAATTAATTGTAGAATAATGTTAGCACTCTAATTCCATCAATTTATTCCATTATTTTACTTAGATAACTCGTCCTTTAAAAGAAAAACATGAAGTCTGGCTGCCTGTTGTAAATTTGCATATGTTAAAATGTAAATACATAAATAATTTTCTCTTTTGTCTTGTGAGGCTAGAAGGTCCAGCTTAAAAAACGTGTCTGACCTTTTTGTGATGGGAGGAGCTCTTGTTTTAGAATCTGCAGCTCTCTTGCACTGGCTAGAGAGAGAGGGTTATGGACCTCTAGGAATGACCGGAATATCCATGGGAGGACATGTAAGCCTTTTGATTTCAACTCATATTTAATTGTGATTATGTTCATAAAATCTAGAGAATGTAGTTATTTTAAAAATTTACTTTAGGTATGGAATTTTAGTTTTGGCAAAAGCAGAAACAGGTTTCAAACTTTTATTCCAATTATAATGATTTTTTTGGTATGATTTATGTAGACATTGATTGTACTACTTATTTCACAGGTATAGCTCAGATATTAGACTTAATATTTTATTAAAAGTTGATTTTTATAAAACTTAACTTTTCATATCTCAAGTATAAATATGCTGTTAAATTGGTAAAGATAACGAATTTGGAAAATACTTTTCATTTATCTCTTATCTCTATCGCCAGGGTCCCCAACCTATTTTACTTTGTCTTCTAGAGTGTACTAAAGCAGCCTCCTAATTGATTTCTCTATGTCTCATCTTTTCTCTCGTTAATCTTCTTCTAAGTTTTTCTCCACACCATAACTAGAGTGCTTTTCCTAAATCTCATCTGTGTTCTCTCCTACTTAAAACCTGCCAAAGGCTTGCTATTATTGCACTGGGCTGTAGCTATGCTAGGTGCTAGCATCCCTCACGGGCCCTCTCATTCCTAGCCAAAATAGCAGTTTGCCCTCCTGGTTCCAATCCAGAGCTTACTTCCTATGAGGAGCTCTTCCTGACTCCCAGCCTAACCCCAGACTGTACTTCATCTCTCATTAGTGCTTATTTCACTGCACTGTGATTACTTGTTTAGCAGTTTGTTCTCTCCATGAAGCAGTTGGTTCAGTAAGGGCTCGTAAATATGCTCTAGTTTGTTACCTGGACATATTAGCCACTCAGGACATTTAGAAAGAAACAAGATTTTTGTAAGTCATTTGAATTGTAAAATTAAGTTCAAAAACTGATTAAAATTCGAAAAAATTATTACACCATGAACTTGAAGGGTGGAAAGGATTTCTTTTCCTACCTATTAGTGTTTCTATTTTTATGACCTAGATCGGGGTCTTATAACTTTCACCTGAATTACTTCCTATACTGGTTTCCCCACCGCAGGTCTTACCTGCTTCTGATCAGTCCTATAAACTGCTATTATTTTAGCTTCCTTGAATTACTTCTTTGACAGTGCTGCTCCTTTGCTCAGACCTCTTTGTTAATTCCCCATTATATACAGAGCAAAAGGGACCTCTAATCTGATACTGTCCAGTCTTTCCAGACCTAACTATCTCTCCCACCCCATTGGCTACATATGCCCTATTGACCAGACAAACTAAAGTATATTGGCCGTTTTCCTACCTGCCTTTGCACTTTTTCATCATCTTGCCTTTGATCATACTGTCTTCTTTAAATGGAAGACAAGATCTCATCTTTCATTTCCCCTGAAAGACAGCCAGTTCATGAAGCCTTCTCTCATTCCTCTAACCAAAAATAACTTTTCCCTTTTCTAAACACACATATTACATTACTTTATATCACTTATATAATCTGTTTGTAGTTCACCAAATTCTTGGCATTTTTCAGTCAGCCCCAAAGGTCTGAGGTTTTATAGTTATGATTTTGCTGTCCCTGAGCAAGTCATTTAGGTAATGAATATGATCAGCCTGCTGCCCAGCATCTACATTTCAGCTTGTTTGCTCTATATTTATCCAGTAGAAAGTAGTTCTCTATGAAGGGTCTTGAGATTACTTAAAATTCTCCAACGTACTTTAATTATTTTCTAAGGGGGAAGTTATATGTCGTTGAATTTGTGATTTGGGGAGTTTCAGAAGGTTGCTAGACATTCTCAGGAGCATTTAGAGATTTTTTTTTTAAGATTTTATTTTTAAGTAATCTCTATACCCAACGTGGGGCTCGAACTTACAACCCCGAGGTCAAGAGTCCTGTGTTCTACTGACTGAGCCAGCCAGATACCCCAAGTATTTAGAGATTTTGTGTTCATATCTTATCTCACCAATTACTACCCAGACTACTTCTTAATATCAAATACTTTTCATTTTAATGAATAGAAATTTAAACAGAAGCTCTCTAACTGACTGTTAAACATATTGCAGATGGCTTCCTTAGCAGTATCCAACTGGCCTAAGCCCATGCCATTGATTCCATGTCTGTCTTGGTCCACAGCATCTGGGGTCTTCACTACGGTAATTTTAATTGCAATTAATTTTAGATAGCTATATATATAATTAAAGTTGTTTTGGGGGTTCCCAAAACCACCTCCAGGTTTGCTGATTCTCTAGAAGGTATCACAGGACTTACCATATAGTCTGATTCATGACTAAGACATGATATCAAAAGGATACAATACAGAATCAGCAAAGGGAAAAGGCACATGGGGCAAAATCCAGAGGAAATCAGGCACAACCTTCCATTGGAATTTCACAGGATGTGTTTAATTCGTCCAGCAGTGGGTTGTGATAGTATGTGTGAAATGTCCATCAGTGAAACTCAGTTGAGCCTGGCAGCCCAGGCTTATCAGGAGTCAATCATTTAGGCACCCTCTGTCTCACATGTACGAAAATTCCAGATGGAAAGTACCTAGTCAGCAGAAACTACATTGTACAAGCAGTTTGGGCGCAGTGACCCACTTTGTCATTTAGAAAATTGTATATTGGGGTTAGGAACTGTTTATTAGTCAAGTTCCCAGATTCTAATCAAGGGCCAACATTGCAAGCAGGGCTTTCAAAGATAGGAAGTTTCAAGCCTGCTATGTTTACTCTTTTTTGCACACTAATAATTAAAATTAAAATTATTGGACAAAATGTCTTATGGAGTGATTTGATCTTAACATAGTTTGTTATTTCAGGGTGTGCTAAGTAAATCGATTAATTGGAGGGAGCTAGAAAAGCAGTATTACACACAGACAGTTTATGAAGAAGAAATTATTCACATGCTTGAATACTGTGGAGTAAGTATTTTTAATCTCTGCATAACATTGGGGGGAAAAGTTGATTGTGTTTAATGATTCAGATTTTTAAAAAGAATCACAAATTTGTTAAAAAGCAGTCATACTTTTTAGTTTTTAAGATTCTTCATTTTAAAATAAAACATAGGTATAAAAAATCATGCAGTGCAAATGTATGGTCATACCAATTGACCGCCTAGGGGTACCTGGATGGCTCAGTCAGTTAAGTGTCTGCCTTTGACTCAGGTCATGATCCCGGGGTCCTGGGATTGAGCCCCGTGTCGGGCTCTCTGCTCATCAGGGAGCCTGCTTCTCCGTCTGCCTCTGCCGCTCCCCCTGCTTGTGCACTCTCACTCTCTCTTTCTCTCTACCAAATAAATAAATAAAACCGTTAAAAAATAAATAAATAAATGTTTAAAAGATTAAAAAAAAGAAAGAAAGTGACCACCCAGATAGTCCAGGATGGCAGGGGAATAGGAGACCTTGGTTTTGTCTGGTCCCAGGAATTCAGCTAGATACCTATCAAATCGTTTTGAACACCTGTGAATTCAACTGGCGATCTAAGAAAAGAATAGCTGCAATTCTACAAATAGAAAAGCAACCACTTTCTGCAAGGATGACAAAATGGAAAAACTCACCTCAAAAACAGAACAAGAGGCAGTACTGACTGCCAGGGACCTAATCAGTATAGATATAAGTAAGATGTCAGAAATAGAGTACAGAATACTGATTATAAAGATACTAGCTGGGCTTTAATAAACACTAGAGGATCCCTTTCTGGAGAACTAAAAGAACTAAAATCTAATCAAGTCAAAATAAAAAAAGGCTGTTAATGAGATGCAATAAAAAATGGAGGCTCTAACTACTAGGATAAATGAGGCAGAAGAGAGAATTAGTGACATATAAGACCAAACAATGGAGACTATAGAAGCTGAGAAAAAGATAAACTACTGGATCATGAGGGGAGAATTTGAGAGATAAGTGATACCATAAAGTGAAACAATTTTAGAATAATTGGGATCCCAGAAGAGGAAAGAGAGAGGAGGGAGTGCAGAAGATATATTGGAGCAAATTATAGTGGAGAACTTCCCCAATTTGGGGAAGGAAACAGGCATCAAAACCTAGGAGGCGGAGAGAACCCCCTCAAAATCCATAAAAATAGGTCAACACCTATTATCAATAAAAATAGTTCAACACCCCAGCATATAATAGTGAAACTTGCAAATCTCAGAGACAAAGAGAAAATCCTGAAAGCAGCTCAGAGTAAGAGGTCTGTAACCTACAAAGGCAAGACCTATCCACAGAGAACTGGCGGGCCAGAAAGGACTGGCATGATGTATTCAGGGTGCTAAATGAGAAAATATGCAGCCAAGAATACTTTATCCAGCTAGGATGTCATTCAGAATAGGAGTAAAAAAGCTTCCAGGACAAACAGAAACTAAAAGAATGGTGATCACCAAACCAGCCCTACAAGAAATATTAAAAGGGATCCTTTAAATGAAGAGAGCCCAAAAGTAACACAGACCAGAAAGGAACAAAGACAATATATAGAAACAGTGGCTTTACAGGTATAACAATGGCACTAAATTCATATCTTTCAGTAGTTACTCTGAATGTAAATGGGCTAAATGCCCCAGTCAAAAGACACAGGTATCAAATTAGATTTAAAAAAGCAAGACCCATCAATACGCTGTCTGCAAGAGACTCATTTTAGACCCAAAGACACCTCCAGATTTAAAGTGAGGGGATGGAAAACCATTTATCATGCTAATGGACATCAAAGGAAAGCTGGGGTGCCAATCCTTCTTTCAGACAAACTAGATTTTAAACCAAAGAGTGTAATAAGAGATGAGGAAGGACACTGTATCATAATTAAAGGGTCTATCCAACAAGAAGATCTAACAATTGTAAATATTTATGCCCCTAACATGGGAACAGCCTGTTACATAAGCCAATTAATAACAAAATCAAAGACACACATCAATAATACTACAATAATAGTAGGGGACTTTTAACACCCCACTCACTGCAATGGACAGATCATCTAAACAGAAACTCAACAAGGAAACAAGGGCTTTGAATGACACACTGGGCCGGATGGACTTCACAGATACATTCAGAGCATTCCATCTAAAGCAACAGAATACATATTTTTCTCGAGTGCACATAGAACATTCTCCAGAATAGATCACATACTGTATCACAAGTCAGGTCTCATCTGGTACCAAAAGATTGGGATCATTCCCTGCATATTTTCAGGCCACAGTGCTTTGAAACTGGAACTCACTCATAAGAAGAAATTTGGAAAGAACTCAAATACATGGAGGCTAAAGAGCATCCTAGTAAGAATGAATGGGTCAACCAGGAAATTAAAGAAGAATTTTAAAAATTCATGGAAACAAATGAAAATGAAAACACATCTGTTCAAAACCTTTGGGATGCAGCAAAGGCAGTCCTAAGAGGGAAGTATATAGCAATACAAGCCTTTCTCAAGAAACAAGAAAGGTCTTAAATATACAACCTAACCTTATACCTAAAGGAGCTGGAAAAAGAACAGCAAATAAAGCCTAAATACACCAGGAGAAGAGAATAAAGATTAGAGCAGAAATCAATGAACTAGAAACCAAAAGAACAGTAGAACAGATCAATGAAACTAGGAGCTGGTTCTTTGAAAGAATTAATAAGATTCATAAACCCCTGGCCAGACTTATCAAAAAGAAAAGAGAAAGGACCCAAATAAATAAAATCATGAATGAAAGGGGAGAGATCATAACCAACACCAAAGAAATAGAAACAATTATAAGAACATACTATGAGCAACTATATGCCAAAAGATTAGGCAATCTGGAAGAAATGGATGCATTCTTAGAGACTTTTAAACTACCAAAACTGAACCAGGCAGAAATAGAAAACCTGAACAGACCCATAACCACTAAGGAAATTGAAGCAGTCATCAAAAATCTCTCAACAAACAAGAGCCCAGGGCCAGATGGCTTCCCAGGAGAATTCTACCAAACATTTAAAGAAGAATGAACACCTATTCTTAAACTGTTCCAGAAAATAGAAATGGAAGGAAAACTTCCAAACTCATTTTATGAGGCCAGCATTACCTTGATCCCAAAACCAGACAAAGACCCCATCAAAAGGAAGAATTACAAACCAATATCCCTAATGAACATGGATGCAGAAATTCTCACCAAGGTACTAGCCAGTAGGGTCCAGCAGTACATTAAAAGGATTATTCACCATGACCAAGTGGGATTTATTCCTCGGCTGCAAGTGTGGTTCAACATCTGCAGATCAATCAATGTGATACAGTACATTAATGAAAGAACATGAACCATATGATCCTCTCAGTGTAGAAAAAGCATTTGGCAAAATACAGCATTCTTTCTTGATAAAAACTCTCTGCCATGTAGGGATAGAGGGAACATACCTCAATATCATAAAAGTCATCTATGAAAAGCCCACAGTGAGTATCCTTCTCAATGGGGAAGAACTGAGAGCTTTTCTCCTAAGGTCAGGAAAACTACAGGGATGTCCCCTATCACCACTGTTGTTCAACATAGTACTAGAAGTCCTAGCCTCAGCAATCAGACAACAAAAAGAAATAAAAGGCACCTGAATTGGCAAAGAAGAAGTCAAACTTTTACTCTTCACAGATGATGTGATACTGTATGTGGAAAACCCAGAAGACTTCACCCCAAAATTGCTAGAACTCATACAGGAATTCAGGAAAGTGGCAGGATATAAAATCAATGCACAGAAATCAGTTGCATTTCTATACACTAAAAATGAGATGGAAGAAAAAGAGATTAAGGAGTTGATCCCATTTACAATTGCACCAAAAACCATAAGATACCTAGGAATAAACCTAACCAAAGAGGCAAAGGATTTGTACTCAGAAAACTATAGAATACTCATGAGAGAAATTGAGGAAGACACAAAGAAATGGAAAAACGTTCCGTGCTCATGGATTAGAAGAACAAATATTGTTAAAGTGTCTATGCTACGTAGAGCAATCTATACATTCAGTGCAGTTCCTATCAAAATACCGTCAACTTTTTTCACAGAGCTGGAACAATAATCCTAAAACTTGTATGGAACCAGAAAAGACCCCGAATAGCCAAAGGAATGTTGAAAAAAAACCAAAGCTGGTGGCATCACAATGCCAGACTTCAAGCTCTATTACAAAGCTATAATCATCAAGACAGTATGGTACTGGTACAAAAACAGACACATAGATCAATGGAACAGAATAGAAAACTCAGAAATGGACCTTCAGATCTGTGGTCACCTAATCTTTGACAAAGCAGGAAAGAATATCCAATGGGAAAAAGTCTCTTCAACAAATAGTGTTGGGAAAATTGGCCAGCCCCATGCAGAAGAGTGAGACTGGACCATTTCCTTACACCATACACAAAAATAGACTCAAAATGGATGAAAGACCTAAATGTGAGACAAGAGTCCATCAAAGTCCTAGAAGAGAACACAGGCAGCTACCTCTGTGACCTTGGCTGCAGCAACTTCTTGCTAGATATATCTCGAAAGGCAAGGTAAACAAAAGGCCAAAATGAACTACTGGGACTTCATCAAGATAAAATGGTTTTGCACAGCAAAGGAAACAGTCCACAAAACCAAAAGACAACTGACAGAATGGGAGAAGATATTTACAAATGTCTTATCAGATAAAGGGCTAGTATCCAAAATTTATAAAGAACTTATCAAGCTCAACAACCAAAGAACGAATAATCCAGTCAAGAAATGGGCAGAGGACATGAACAGACATTTCTCCAAAGAAGACATACAAATGGCCAACAGACACATGAAAAAATGCTTGGCAGCAGGGAAATCCAAATCCAAATCAAAACCACAATGAGATACCACCCCAAATCAGTCAGAATGGCTAAAATTAACAAGTCAGGAAACGACAGATGTTGGTGAGGATGTGGAGAAAGCGGAACCCTCCTGCACTGTTGGTGGGAATGCAAGCTGGTGCAGCCATTCTGGAAAACAGTATGGAGGTTCCTCAAAAAGTTAAAAAGAGAGCTACCCTAAGATCCAGGAATTGCACTACTGGGTATTTACCTCAAAGATACAAATATAGTAATCTGAAGGGGCACCTGCACCCTAGTGTTATAGCAGTAATGTCCATAATAGCCAAACTATGGAAAGAGCCCAGATGTCCATCGACAGATGAATGGATAAAGATGTGGTATATATACACAATGGAATACTACTCAGCCATCAAAAAAAATGAAGTCTTGCCATTTGCAGCGATGTAGATGGAACTAGAGGGTATCATGCTAAGTGAAATAAGTCGGTCAGAGAAAGACAGTTATCATATGATCTCACTCGTGGAATTTAAGAAACAAAACAGGATCATAGGGGAAGAGAGGAAAAATTTTAAAAATGTAAAGAAATTAAAAAGAAAAGCAAGAAATTGACCAACCAACCCAGAAACCCCTTCCATGTGTCCTAATTAAAAAGCCCTTCTCCCCCCACTATTAATCATTATCCTGATTTTTGTAGTAATTACTTCCTTCTCTCTTTAAAATAATTTTATTGTCCAAATGTGTATCCTTAGACACAATTCTTTTATTTGTGCTTTTAAGTATCTTTTAATCTGTAAATTCTCTTCTATTCTTTTCCCTTTTTTTATAATTTATTGAAGTTTTAGGCTATTTCTGTGTAGAATTTTTCACATTCTAGCCATTTTTTTTTTAAGATTTTTACTTGTCAGAGAGCACAAGCAGGGGGAGCAGCAGGCAGAGGGAGAGGGAGAAGCAGACCCCCCACCGAGCAAGGAGCCTGATGTGGGACTCGATCCCAGGACCCTGGGATCATGACCTGAGCTGAAGGCTGATGCTTAACTGCCTGAGCCACCCAGGCGTCCCAAGTGTAGGTACTTTTTTATTGCATTCTCATGGTACAGTTTAGCATGTTCACCCATGCTCTGTATTGCCTGAAAGTTGGCAGCTGTGTCTAGAGTCTCAATTAAGTTCAATTGTTATTTCTTTGGTAGGAGTATAGGAAGCACATAATGTCTGGTTGTCTCTATTTTGTGATGTAAGCCTCCACTGATGTTTAATACCTATGTCTATTAATTGTTGGAGGGCTGCAAAATGCTGATATTCTAATTCTGTCATTTCTTTTTTATTTATTTGTTTGAATGCTTGTATAAAAAGGCGCTTATCTAGCTATTATTTGGTTACCTAGTAGTTCAGTTCATACAGGAAAGGCAAGATAAATGCTTGATTCTTTACCAACCATAATCTACCAGTTTTCAGGATAACAAATTGGTTCCCTCTTAGTCTCCTAAGGTAACCAGTTCCTTTTATAAATTTTTTTCTTTTTCTGAATTTTTAATTTTACACATTGAGTTTGTAAGTTGCTGAGAATCTCAAGAAATCTCAGAAAGGAAACGAAAATCTCTGCTATCAATTAGGACTTCTTATAATTATGCCACTAAAAATCTCACTCTTATAAAATAAGTCTATCTTGTATAACCTTAAAGGATAATTACTTGCCTAAGAACTTTGTTACAAAATACCTCTACCTGCTAGTTAGTTCCTTGTGTTCCCCTGTACATATAAGCAAAAAGATGCCTATATTTGAGAGCTTATGAGAAAACTCAATGTGAAAATTTTTTGAAGGGAGAATCAAAAATTTTGGTTGTCTGAAATGGCAGTGTGATCTTACCCAGCACTTTCTTCGTGCCTCTGACTCTTGGCGGTTATATACAAGTTTTTTTTGTCTCAGAACTAGTTCGTAGTAATGCATAGTCAAGCAATATCAAGATGGCTTCCTTCTTTTTTGTTATAAAAACTTTTTCCAATCAAAAGCAGTTAAAGTTGTTGGTGTACCACTCTGAGTAATTCTAGGGTGCTTGAGCTTACATTTCTCAATGTTTCTAAACTTCCTTTCCCTTTCCCTTTTATATTTCTTTGATCTGGATGACTTCAATGATTTGTTCTGTTAGCCAGGTTGTTGTTTTTTTTTCACCCTTGCCTTCAACCAATTTTTCCTTCCTTAATTTCTTAAATAGATTGTATGGTCATATAGTTCAAGCATCATGAAGTATAAAAAGACACATAATGAAATAAGTTCTACCCTTATTCCCAATTTGCCTAAGTCCTTTCTCCCTCAATAACACACTATTTATTAATATTTCAAGGAATTTTTCAAACCAACAGAAATATGAACTTTTTTCTTAACCTTTTTTAATGGACTATACACAAATCTTTCTTTTTCTTTTTTACTGCTGCATTATAATCGACTATATGGGTGGATGTACCATGATTTATTAACCAGTACCAGTACCCTGTTGATATTGTTTCTCATTTTCCCTAGTAACAAACAGTGCTGCAATGAATAAATTTGTACATATGTCATTTCACAAGTGTAAATTCCTAGAAATGTTGTTGCATTTGTAATGTGATTAGATTTTGTCTAATTCTAGTTGTGTCGATTTATACTACCAGCAGGAACATGTGTATCTGTTTCCCAATAATTTCACAAATTCAGTGTTTTAGCAAACTTAAGGGTTTTACTTTGTTTTTTGTCAACCTGATGGTGAAATTGGTATTGTTTTTATTTAATTTACTTAATTATAAGTGAAATTGGATATGTTTCTAAGTTTAAGAGCTGTATATGTTTCATTGTCTGTGACCTTTATGTGCATGTCCTTTGCTCACTTTTTCTACTGTCATTTTGGGCTTTGTATTCACTTCTAGCTCTTAATAAATTAAAGGCTCTTTGTCATATAAGTTACAAATATATTTTCCCAGACTGTCATTTTTTTTCTTTTCACTCTACCCTTAGTATTTAACAGAGTTTATTTTTACTTAAATTATATTGTACTTACAAGTCCTTAAACTTAGTACATACTTTTGAGATTTTAATAGGCAATATTTTTTCCTTGATAATTCTTCATTCTTCTTAGTTCGACCTGAGAAAGGGATTTGAGGTGGCTGATGTATTATTGCCAGGATACACTCATAAGGCTTTTGGAAGTTCTAAGATTCAGGCAGATCATGATTTCAAAACTTTGGCAATAAAAACATGATGCAGACTAAATGATACCCTTTACTATTTAAGAGGAGACATTTAGCAATATAGTATAAGTCTTTTATTTATCTTAGTCCTCAGATAAATTTTGACATCTCTTTATTCTTTGTTATTGTTTAAGTTGTGGTAAAATATATGCAACATAAAATGTACTATTTCAGCCATGTTTAGGTGTACAGGTCAATGGTATTATTAAGTGCATTCACATTGTTGTGCAACCGTCACCTCTGTCCATCACCACCATCCATCTCCAGAACTTTTTCATTTTACTAAACCAAAACTCTGTACCCATTAAACAGTAACTCTTCGTTCCCCCTCCTTCCAGCACCTGGCAATCCCCACTCAATTGTCTGTCTCTATGAATCTGACTACTCTAGGTACCTCATAAAAGTTGGAATCATACAATATTTGCCGTTTGTGTCTGGCTTACTCATTTAGCATAGTGTCTTCAGGGTTCATCCATGTTGTAGTATGTATCAGAATTTCATTCCCTTTTAAGACTAAATGATAATCCATTGTATGTATGTACTACATTTTATTTATTTGTTTATTCACTGATGGAGTTTGTGTTTTGTCTTTAACAAGGTTGTTAAATAAAATGTATTTTATACTAAATGATGTTTTCTTTTATATACTCAGACAGATTCTTTCAAAATGGGACAAGAGTTTGTGAAACGCTTCCCTATCAGTGCAGACAAGCTAACTAACCTTAATGTGGTTTCTAGAACTTTAAATTTAGATATGACAGGCCAAGTTGTATCCCAAAAACCTAGTGAGTGCCATAAATCTAGTAAACCATCCATCAGTGCCACATCAGAAAGACTCTTGTTGCAAGATACCTCTAAGATGCAGTGCTTCAATCAAACGCTTTCAACCAACAAAAGTAATTATACAAGTTGCAATCCTCAGTCATATCACCTACTCAGTAAAGAACAAAGAAGAAACAATCTTCAGAAAGAGTCTTTAATATTCATGAAAGGAGTCATGGATGAATGTACTCATGTGGCAAATTTCTCAGGTACCAATTTTTATGTGAAATTAATAATGTTTGCTGATGTGTAAATATTTGTGAAATATTTTTAAAGATGCTTTACAAAATAATTTCATATTTTCAAGAATATGTTTATTGTTTGCTCCAGAATGTATTTTCCAGGATAAGTTGGTTATTTAAATGTATCATATTGGGGCGCCTGGGTGGCTTAGACAGTTAAGCATCTGTCTTTGGCTCAGGTCATGATCTCAGGGTCCTGGGATCGAGTCCTGCATCAGGCTCTCTGCTCAGCGGGGAGTCTGCTTCTCCCTCTCTCTCTGCTGTTCCCCTTGTGTGTGCTCTCTCTCTGTCAAAAATAAATAAAATCTTAAAAAATAAATAAATAAATGTATCATATTTTATCCATGAAAACCTAAAACCATCCTATTAGTTAGTTAAAACTATATTGGATTTTGTTTGGGGCAGGGGGATGCGGTAACGGGGTGATGGACATTTGGAGGGTATGTGTTGTAATAAGCACTGAGTATTATATAAGACTGGTGAAGCACAGACCTGTACCCCTGAAACAAATAATACATTATATGTTAATTAGTTGAATTTAAATTTAAAAATATATATTGGATTTTGTATCTTCTTTAGAATGTTCATCTCATTGTATTAGAGATGAATATTATGATATTATGCTATATTATTGTTGATTTTTAACTTAATCATAAAGTTTTAGGGGCACCTGGGTGACACAGTTGGTTAAGCAGCTGCCTTCAGCTCAGGTCATGATCTCAGGGTCCTGGGATTGAGCCCCAGGTCGGGCTCCCTGCTCAGCAGAGGGTGTGCTTCTCCCTCTCCCATCTCCCCCCGCCACCCCCTGCTCCTTGCTAGTCCGTGCTCTCTGTCTTTCTCTGAAATAAATAAATAAATAAATAAATCTTTTTTAAAAAAAGTTTTGACAGATGTTTCACTTAATGTACTGTCAAGTGTATTTTATTTTCTAATACGATTAATAGTATTTATATAAAAATCTTAGAGCTTTTTTAAAGGTGTATTTGTTGTATCTTTTAAAATTCTATCCCTAGTTCCAGTTGACCCAAGTCTCATTATAGTGGTTCAAGCCAAAGAAGATGCTTATATTCCACGAACAGGAGTTCGAAGTTTACAAGAAATTTGGCCTGGTTGTGAAATCCGTTATCTAGAAGGGGGTCATATTAGTGCTTATCTTTTTAAACAAGGACTCTTCAGGTAAGATGATTGGTCTAAACAGGTATCTATTTATTTGCTTGTTTTTTGGAATATTTTTGCCTCAAAAAAATAAAGACAGGGTATTTTTATTTTATGTTTTAGTCTTCTTTTTTCCTCCCTGCCTCCATCAATTCTCACATTATGGTACTTTTTCCTATCCCATCCTCTTCTGTTTTTTTTTAAAGAACTAGGGAAGTAGCATATATAGGCACATTTTATTGTGTGTTTTTACCCTCTTCAAATATTAATAGCCAGGTATTTTAGAATATAGGGAGGAATACCAGGGTTTGTAAAACTTGCTTTTTCACTCCTGTCTTCTCTCAGATGGCATGAGCATCTATGGAATAGTCCAGCGCTGTTTTTCAGTAGCAAGTGAATACTGAACCTTAAATGAGAAGTGAAATATTGGATGTTAATAACCTTATATGACTTCAGTACTTAGAAGTTATAAAAACCTTTATTCTATAACTCTAGTTTTTTGATAGCCTATATTATTTCTACTTCCTCTTCAAATTTGATGACAAAAGCTGTCATTGGGATATATTTATCATTAATGGTTAAATAAATTCGTTCACATGAAGTGCTTAGATCAGTGCCCTGGGCATGATGTGTCTCAAAACTGCCAGCTGTATCTCTGTATAACAGAAGAATTGTGTGTATTATATGTCTGACATGTTTTAGCTCTTTTTAATCCAAGAAATAATTCTTTGTACATTATCACTCATTTAGTTCATTTAGTTAAATAACCAATTTTTAGATGTCACCTTTAAGCGTCTAATTAAAATATTAAATACTAATATATTAAATATATAAATATATTTAATATTACTAATATATTAAATATATATTAAATAATATAAATATATTAAAACACATATTAATATTAAATACTAATATAGTAAAACACTCTGTGAAGGTAATATTGGAAACTAAGGCTTTTGATTTTAGTTCAGTTGCTAGGAACATGTGTTCTTCTGGACAAAGAGCATCCTTATCATAATTTATGAAATAGGTTGAATACTACATTATGAAAAGTTATACAGCCAATTAATTTTCAACAAGTCACATACATATATATTTTATATTGCATATATATTATATAAATGCATATATTATGTAAGTTCTAAGGCACAAAAAAAGTGCGTCACAGAAAAGGATGGTACTTCTGAATTCATCATCAGTTGAAAGCACATTTGAGGTTTTCTGCAGCTATGGTGAAGTTACACGGATCCAAACACCCACCCTCAGGTACCTGCCTCTTTGAAAGCTATTTGAAGAAGAAGTCAGGTTGCAAGCCACAGGTAACTTTGGAAGTAACTTATAATAAAAGTACTGTCTTCCTTTTTTGCTCATTACTTACAGTTCTTCTTTCATCTTTAATTTTAGACGAGCCATCTATGATGCATTTGAACGCTTCCTCCATAAATACGCTAACTAATTGGATCACTGTATGTAACCAGTATGGCCATCATGTTTCTTACAAAAGGAGTTTTTCATCCTTTGATGATAAGAAGAACAAGCAGACAGCACTATATATATAACTAACTGCTATCAATTTAGTCTGGAATTCATTGTTATGATCAGTCAACAATGATCTTTAAATACATGTGAATAATTTTAAACCAATATTTGGATGAAATAATGTTGAAGTATTTTGTTATTGTTTTGTGGGAATCCCATATACACAATATCCAGTCTGTTGTTACTATTTATGAAAACTAAATTTTTAATCGTGAATAATTTATTAATTAAAATACATTTATTCATAGAAACCTTATTGGTTTTTAAAGAACTGCTAAATCAAGCTAAGTTTGTAATACATCAGCATGTATTGTATACCCTTGTATGATAGTTTTACTATTGACTTGATTTGAGAACATGTTTCTTTCTTATCTTCAACTTTAATTTCTGCAGTGGCAATACTTTTTTTTTTTTAAGATTTTATTTATTTGACAGAGAGAGACACAGCGAGAGAGGGAACACGAGCAGGGGGAGTGGGAGAGGCTTCCTGCTGAGCAGGGAGCCCGATGTGGGGCTCAATCGCAGGACCCTGGGATCATGACCTGAGCCAAAGGCAGGCGCTTAACGACTGAGCCACCCAGGTGCCCCTGCCATGGCAATACTTAATGATGTGTAAGATCAGTGTTAAGTTTGAATTCTAAAAATATCCTGATTGCTTCCTACTTAAGTAGCTTTAATAATTAAAACAAATGTGGGAATGCAGATAAGATGCATATGACTTGGCTGAACTTTAAAACTTTGCCAAATACGAGGTTAGAAAATGATGCCAAACATATTTCCCCTACTTAAGAAGTTTCAATTCATGAAATATGGAAATAATGAAAGACCTGTTACATTATTTGATACTGTGTCTTAACATTTTCTTATATACCTACTCTGGGTTTGCTAAACATCTAACTTTAGTTAGATATACTTAATAGCTTTGGCTTTTTAATTTCAGAAATTAAATATGAAATTGATTTGTTCCATATAACTTCATTTTACAGAAAAGATATAATAACTACTAACTTTTTTAAATGGAAGATTATATGGTTAGATTTGGTGCTTTTTATGTTAAACTTCTCAAGCTAAGATCTAAAATGTTTGAAAAAAGTAGAAAATATTTTTGGGAATTGTATCAAGGTTTGGAATAAATGTATTTGAGTTTTATTTGTTTGAAATCTGTGTTGTCTATGGATTATTTTAAAAATATGTATTCCTGATCTAGCAAGGATATTTGAATTATGTGCCTTCATAGCTTTTTAAAAGATTTTATTTATCACTCTAATGTCTCCATCATTTTAACTTTTTAAAAATTATTTCAAAGTCACTAATGTGAAATCATTGATGGTATACAAAATTGTAAATTCTGTAAAACTGCTTTGGCATAGCAAACCATACCTATTTGGTTACAGCCATTTGGCCTATAGCAATTTTATATCTTTAGACTAGAACCTTTACTTTTAACTGAAAGTATAAAATGTACTAAAATTCTTAAACAAAATACCCTTTAAAGATAAAGTAAGATTTATTGTCAAATGAATTACAAGTATTTTCTTAGTATGTAGTGAGGCAATATGATTGAATGTTTTCTGAATTATACCTTAGTAAAACCAATATTTATTTTTTACCTAAATATTTCTTACTAAGCAATAATGTACTGTGGTGTATGACTTTCTGTTGGTAAAAGAATGAAATTTCATTTCATTTTAATTAACTTTTAGTCATAACTCATTTTTTCCAAATGTGAAAGGAAGTATTTTAAAAATTTCATCTCTTAACCAGATGTTTTTAAGAATATTATCCACGCAACTTCCTGAATTGATTAATTCAAGGTGCAAAATACCTTTTCTTAAAGTTTTTATATCCACTTATCCCAAAATAGTGACTCAAACTTTCTATATATATATGTATATATACACATATATATAATGTTATGTGTATATATATATAATGTGTAAGGTATATACGTTATATATATAACACTAATAGTTATATATATAAGTGTTATATATATATATAATAGTTATATATATAAAGGGACAACATATGTATTTTAAAAAGTGCTGTCTGCCATTTTGAGAATTGTGTACATAAACTGCTAAAAATTCATTTAGGCCAGAGGTGCAAACTGGCAGTTAATACAGGCCAGCTTGGCCCACAGCTGTTTATTCAGTGTGCATAATATTTCAAAATTGTTTGAATTTGAAAAGTCTTTTGACTGGGCATGCATTCCCTAGTTTGCCACAGTCTGCTAGACTCCCTTTTTTATCAGGCTACTTCACTACTTTGTGTTTCCTTCTTAGCCTTGAACACATCTGACTTTGAGACCCCTGATTTAGATCTGTGGTTACAAAAGTTTCTGAATTTCATGATTTGCTAATGTTATAATTATTATTAATTATTTTAACATATGAATGAATTTTAGATTGTTATGAATGTAATTTTTTAATGTGGTGCTTTCTCTCGTAAAGATTACTGAATTAACACTGTAACTGAAAAGTTTTTAAATCATTTCCAGATATTTTATACTTAATAAAAGTCTATATAAAAAGTTAATTATTTCATATATTCAAGAAGATTTATTCTGAATACAGAATACATGTGTCACATTTGATTAATGTATCCAAACTTGAATTGAGTGTGTGTTCTTCCTTAGTTCTATTATAAACCAAACAAAGTAAGGCAGAAAGAAGGGAGGCTTTAGCAGAATAGTATTCAGTATCTGCAAGAAGAGCCAGATTTCTCCCCCAAATATGTGTGATCCCAGGGAAACTAGCATTCTGACAGACCATACTTATCTGAATGTTGTATAATTAGATATAATTCTTGGATATAATTAGATTTATGCTAGTAAATGTTATAAGCAATTAAAATCTAGAGATAACTTTAGGACTGAGAATGGGGATGCTGGATAGAGGCCACTATAGAAACTGGGTTTGGAAATGAAAGATTTTGGCAAGTGAGACAAAGGGAATAGAGGTACATTTGGACTGTTTTTGCAGGAGTAGAATAACTTAATTCTAGGAATATTCTTATAGGCAGAATCCTAGGAAGCCAATGATTTCATGAAGAACTTTGAAAACATTTTAGAAAATTTTGGACCAAAACCCAGAAGGATTTTCCTCAGGACCAAAGGAGCTAATGTGCAGATTCACCAGATTGTGTTAATTTAAAAAGAAAGGTAAACTTACCATGAAAAGTCTGTTACTTTATACAAACTGGTTACTAACTGAGGTGTAACTGTTTTCCTATATAATGTACTGGATAATTCCATAGAAATAAAGTTGTATCCTAGCACTTTGCTATTCAAAGTGTGGTCAGCAGACTGGCAGCATCCTCTTGAGATCTTGTTAGAAATTTAGAATCTCAAGCACCATCAACCTTACTGAGTCATAATTTGCATTTGAATAAGATGATTCAGCTACACATTAAATTTTCAAAAACACCCATTTAGAATCAGTGGTACTCAAATTTTAACTTGCATTGAAATCACCTGGAACTTTGTTACAACACAGATTTCTAGACCCCACTACCTTGAGTTTCTGATTCACTAAGTGGGGCAGGGCTCGTGAATTTTTATTTCTAAAAGTTTCAGAGGATGCTCTTGCTCTCTGTCCAGGGGTTATACTTAAAGAACCCCAAAGAGCCATGGCTCTAATCAGATCTCAGGCCTGGAACATGAGAATCACCTGAGGAGTTTTAGCTAGGTAAGTGGCTGTTCTTACCTATGCTGAATCTCTTACCCTAGACATTCAGATTCACTTGGCTTGCAGTTGGTATTTTTAAAGCTCCGTAGGTGATTCTACTGTGCAGCCAGGTTTAAGAACTCAACTCAACGTACTTTGAAGGACTCAAGAGAAGAAGACTAGCTGTTGAAGGAAAGAATGGATGTAAAGTTGGTAAATCAACGTAGATTTTGGAAAGGAATTCCTGATATTCTGGGTGTTACCAGCACCTCAGAAGTATTCAGGTAGCCAAGAGGGCCTGTGTTCCTTCTGCTTCTGCTCTTTCGTTATGGGTCCACATGTGTTAGAAAGAGTAGGATGAGCTGGGGGTGGATTTGGGCACTTACGTGCAGCGGAGCTTCTTTAAATCTTGAACGTTAACTCATCTTGGCAAACCAAAGCAAAGACAAGTATGAGCAAAGAAATGCTAACCTCTTCCCTGTATTTTCTTCAACCATTCCCTACAGGAATGTCACTCTGCCTGCTTTAAGAACTTGTCAATTGGGGCTGTAGATAGGAAATTTACTAATTTTTTTTCTGCCTTTGTTTCCCACATCAACAACTCCTCAAAAAACAATTGGCCAATTGATAGGCAGTGATAATATGCAATGCAAATTTATTTTTTACTTAGAACTATAAATATGTTTGTACATATTACTTCACTGGCTTCTTTCTAAATGTCATTTTATACCAATGTTGTCTTAGATTATAAAGTAGGAGAAAATAAATTGGTAATTTGAGAGCTGTAATGGGAAGCCCTTATAAGTAATTAAATCTACCTTGAGAAGAGATAGGTTTGCTGTCGCTTGCAGAACTGGATCATCAGGACTCTGGGGTTTGCTTTTATTTCTGCTTTAGGGTCATGTCTTTAATTCACTCTTTTGTATCTCCAAAATGAATGGAGATTCTAGGGGCTAGTCTAGTAATTTTCTTTGTGTTGTAACACCTACCGGGTCTTCAGGTTTTCATATCAGAAGGTAGGCAATCACGTCTCTCCTAGGACTGAATTCATCAGAATAGACAAGGAAAAGATTCACCAAATGTACATTTCTTTTTAAGAGTATTTGTAAAACAAAGAACCGTATATGAGAGTTATGACTCTATTTTAAGAGGACAGGGACGACAATGATTATCACATTCGCAAACCCAAACTTGCAACCTCGTAGCCAGACACCAGATAGACAGATTTACATATATTGCAATTAAGTCCACTTATTTGTTCATTTGTTTATTGATTCACTTAAAAAATATTTACCGAGTGCCAGAGACAAAGCAGTCCAATAGGATACTTAAGACAGTTTTCAAGGGACTAGACCAGTTCCCTTTAACTTGACTTCTACAGAAATTCCTGGCTTAGCTCTATACATAGATTGATTTTTTTAAGAGCTTTATTAAAATATAATTTAGACATCATACAATTCATTGATTTAAAGCATATGATATTAGGGGCGCCTGGGTGGCTCAGTCATTAGGCGTCTGCCTCCAGCTCAGGTCATGATCCCAGGGTCCTGGAATCGAGCCCCCCATTGGGCTCCCTGTTCAGCGGGAAGCCTGCTTCTCCCTCTCCCACTCCCCCTGCTTGTGTTCCCTCTCTCGCTGTGTCTCTCTCTGTCAAATAAATAAAATCTTTAAAAAAAAAAAGTATATGATATTAGAGTTTTGGGTATATTACATTATTTTTTAAATTGTAAAACTATAAAACATAAAACTTGCAATTTTAACCACTTTTAAATGAGCAAATCAGAG